TCTAGCCGCCCACCTCCACCTCTGATGTCAGGGTATATAATAACCAGCCAGAGTAGGAATAAAGGAGAGCCTTCTTGAGGAGCCTTCGGTGTTGTCAATCCCCAACACCCTTGCCACATTCTCGGACTCAGGCTGCACAGCGGACGCGGCAGGCTTACACACACCCTGAAAACTGGAACTTAATTCTCTGAGTCCACATGAAGGTTGAAAGACAGAACCACCCCACCAATCTCTACTCTGACATCCACGTGTCATGAATGAACTCGGTGCATTCCCATGTGTCTCAGGATTTCAATTGCTGTGAAGAGACACCATGGCCACAGCAACTTTTATAAAGGAAAACATTTAATGTGGATGGCTTACAGTCTCAGAGATTTAGTTCATTATCACCATGGTGGGAAAACATGGTGGCATGCAGGCAGGCATGGTGCTAGAGAAGGAGCTGAGAGGTCTGTATTTGATCCACAGACAACAGGAAGTGAACTGTGACACTGGGCATAGCTTGAGCATAGGATACCTCAAAGCCCTCCCCCACAGTGACACACTGCCTCCAACAAGGCCACACCTACTCCAACAAGGCTACACCTCCTAATAGTACCACTCCCTTTGGAGGTCATTTTCTTTTAACCCACCTCAGCATGCATACAATACTACAAAAGAAATAGTAATTTAATGGGTTTCCAAAGCACAGATGCATCAAGGAGAGACTATCACCAAAGCATGGCCTTGTATGGATTAACCATCTCATATCAAATAATGTGAACTCTAAATAGAGAGAGAAGGACTCAGTTTTTCAGTTATTGCCTCTTTCACTTTGTCATCCTCCTCTTACAAAAAACAAAGAGAGAGCCAGGCGGTGGTGGTGCATGCCTTTAATCCCAGCACTCAGGAGGCAGAGGCAGGCAGATCTTTGTGAGTTCGAGGCCAGGCTGGACCAATGATAGCCTCCAAAACAATACAGAGAAACCCTGTCTCATAAAAACCAAAAAAAAAAAAAAAAAGAGAGAGAGAGAGAGAGAGAAAGAAAGGAAGAAAGGCAGGCATATAGCATATAGAAGGTAATGAATGTCCAGACTCATCTGGTCAAATTTTTTTTTAAGATTTATTTACTTTGTATACAGTATTCTGTCTACATGTACACCTGCAGGCGAGAAGAGGGCAGCAGATCTCATTACAGATAGTTGTGAGCCACCATGTGGTTGCGGGGAATTGAATTTAGGATCTCTGGAAGATCAGCCAGTGCTCTTAACTGCTGAGCCATTTCTCCAGCCCTGGCCAAAGGTTTAATGTGGTTTGCTTTCACCTAATAAAATCTTTAATAAAAAAGAATCTGTGGGCCGGGCATTGGTGGCACATGCCTTTAATCCCAGCACTCAGGAGGCAGAGGCAGGCGGATCTCTGTGAGTTTGAGACCAGCCTGATCTGCAAGAGCTAGTTCCAGGACATCCTCCAAAGTCACAGAGAAACCCTGTCTTGAAAAACCAAAAAAAAAAAAAAAAAAAAAAAAAATCTGTGGACTCACTAGAAACCTCAAGTTATAGTTGCTCACTAATGTATATGCAGAAGATCCTGTTAGTTTGACATTTATGGAATGAAGTTAGATCTCAAAGTCAGTATCTTCAGAAAGAGTGATGCAAAGACCCCTGATGCACCTGATCACATGGAAATAACTTGTGAACCATGGTACAAAGAAGAACAGACAGGACCAGGCGTTGGTGGCATATACCTTTAATCCCAGCACTCGGGAGGCAGAAGCAGGCAGATCACTGAGAGTTCCAGACCACCCTCGTCTACAAAGAGCTAGTTCTAGGACAGCCTCCAAAATCATAGAGCAACCCTGTCTCAAAACAAAACAAAACAAAATGAGCTCTTGCTCTCCTTTGCCATCTTTGGAATTGTGCCCATGGAATGTTGGGCTCATTTGGAGAGAGAGAGAGAGGAGAGAGGAACCCCCATGGCAGTTCACAACCTTTGGTAACCAGTCTAAGGGATCACATGCCCCCTTCTGGCCATCTTGGGTGGTGCACAGACATACACATGGGCAAAACACCCATAAACATAAAGTAATAAAAAAAATAAAAAAAGAAACTTGATAGAAGGTGCACATCTCAATATAATGAAGGTTATATGTGACAGACCTATAGCCAACTTTATATTCTATTGAGAAACTCTTAAGAACTCACACTGAAATCAGGAAAAGTCAAAGCCACAGAGAAACCCTGTCTTGAAGAAAAAAAAAAAAGAGAGATACCACCAGAAATCACTTAGTAAAGTAAATTAGCAGGATACAAGTTTGTTTGTTTGGTTTTTGTTTTTCGAGACAGGGTTTCCCTGTATTGTTTTGAAAACTGTCCTGGAACTCGATCTTGTAGACTAGGCTGGCCTTGAACTCACAGAGATCCGCCTACCTCTGCCTCCCGAGTGCTGGGATTAAAGGCTTGTGCCACCAATGCCCAGCTGCAGGATATAAAATTATCATACAAGAATCTGTAACCTGGACTGGTGAGATGTCTCAGTCTGTAAAGATGATTGCAGCTCAAATTATGAAACCTGAATTCTATCCATAGAATCCAAATAAAACTGCAAAAGCCAGCTCTACTCCTTTGCATAAACCTAAAGGATTCTTGCTCATCCATGCCCATTACTACTCTGTTCACAATAGGAAAGATTTGGAATCGCCCTAGGTGTCTTCAGCAGAGGATTGAATAATCAGAACATGTTATATTTTTCCATGAAGAAAGAGGAAACTACAAATTGCAGGGACATTATTAGATTATAACAGTATAGTAAGTGAGGTCACCCAAGCTCAGAAAGCTAATCCCTGCATGTTCTCACAAACAAGCAGACCTTAGCTTCTAATTTGTGTGTATGCATAGTCATGTGAGAAGGAGAGACTAGAGGTGGCAGGATCTAGAAAGGGAACCAAACACAAGAAAAGGACATTTTAAGGTGGAGGAGTAGGGAGGGTAATAGAACTCATGGGATATGAAATTAAAATGGAAAAAGGAGGTGGTGGCCCATGCCTTTAATCCCAGCACTCGGGAGGCAGAGGCAGGTGGATCTCTGTGAGTTTGAGACCAGCCTGATCTACAGAGCGAGTTCCAGGACAGCCTCCAGAACAATACAGAGAAACCCTATCTCCAAAAAAAAAAAAAAAAAGGCAAAACGGGGGTGTGGGGGTGAAACAGTTATTCAAGGATGGGGGCAGAACATGGGAGAGAGGAGTAGGATGGTATGCCAGGAAATTTAAAAATGTCTGCTATAGGTAATTTCCATAGAAAATGACAGATTTCTTTCATTGTTTTTTCTATTCATGAGACAGTCTTGAAAATGTGAGCTTGTAGCTGAGCAGTGGTAGCACACACCTTTAATCCCAGCACTCAGAGGCAGAGGCCAGCCTGATCTACAGATCTAGTTCCAGGACAGCCTCCAAAGCTAGAGAAACCCAGTCTCGAAATACAAAAAAATAGACAAGCAAAAAAGAACATTATGTAAATAAAACTTTGGCCACCAACCACGATATTGCACACCTGTAATCCCAACACTAGGGAAGCTGAGGCATGAGGATTGATAAAATTCAAGGTCAGCCTAAACTGCAGATTAGATTAACCAGGGCTACACAGCAGGGTTCTGTCTCAACAGCTAAGAGAGATTAAGGGTGAGGACAATCAAGATAAGCATATATGTGAAACTGTCAAAGAACAAATTTAATAAAAGTTTTCAAAAATTTTAAAAATTTTCTCTAAATGTAAAGTGAAAGGATAAACCATACACAGAAAAGAATGTATTTGACTAACAATAGGGAGATACTAAATGTATGAAGTTAAAGTTATGTAACTCAAAAACACTTTTTTTTTCTTTTCTGTATTGCTTTGGAGTCTGTCCTGGTACTCACTATGTAGACTAAGCTGGCCTGGAACTCGCAGAGATTCGCTTGCCTCTGCCTTCGGAGAGCTGGGATTAAAGGCGTGCACCACCAACATCCGATTCGACTCAAAAACATCGCTTGAATCTCAGAAATGGATGTAGGCAGAGATCCACTTGGGCGTGGCTACATCGCTTGAATCTCAGAAATGGATGTAGGGATTGATCCACTTGGGGCGTGGCTACAGGTGTACCGGCTGGTATAAAAGGCTGTGCAGAGAGACACTCCTTCAGTTCCAGTCGGGTCTGGAGAGCAGCGGAGCACTGACCTTGGGTTCTCAGCTTCTCAGGTAAGTGATTCACGGGACTTGGCCCCCACTCGAGCCCGGTAGGTTGAGCGCTCACTGCGGCAGCCAAGATTAACTAACCCCTCTACTCCCTACTGGGAATGGACCCAATCCTACGTTTTCCCCAGTCCCTACAAGCACAGTGCTAAGACTCTTAGTTGTCCTCTCTTTGGATAGTTGACCTGACATCTGTTCAGACAACTCGAGGATCCCAATCCCAGCAAGGACACTGTGGTTTAGCCTTGCCTTGAAGGAGTGTATCTAGCTCCAGAGTCCTTGCAAGACCGGGTGTGCTTCAGCCTTGCATCTATTTGATTTAAGGTATGGGGGACTGTACATAGATTCTCCCATGGTTGGCGAGCGCCCCACACCTGAGCTGTACACCCAAAGCTTTCATCGGTTCATTGTTTAAGATAGTCTTACCATGTATTCAGTTTGACCTTAAATTCATTGTCACGCAGAGCTTCCTGCCCCAGATCTCGAGCCTGCAGTATCAGCCCGGCTTGAACGTGAATTTCGAGGCACGGTTGGGATCGTTTTCGAGGCTCCGCGATGGCAATGCGACGTCAACCTAAGAATTCGCCTTCGCCCAGGCCAAACACCAAGAACGATGCAGGTCCGGGAGGCCTCGAGGCTTCGAGCGCGGATTGGCCAGGCCGGGCAGGCCCCGCCCCAGAGGCGCAGCAGCCAATGAGCGCGCAGAGGACCGGCGGGCAAACTCGCGAGTGGTGGGGGAGCTACTCCTACGCTGCGGCCTGTGCTGCCCAGCCCGGAAGAACGTGCGACGTGCGACGCGCGGATCAGCCTAGAGCCATGTCTAGGCGGGAACCCGCAGCCAACGCTTCCTCCTCGGGCGTTGCTCCCCGGCGAAGCTCGACGGGGTCCCGCGGCGCCGAGCGGACAGTGGTGGAGGATCCGAGCCGGAGAGGCCGGGTCGGTAGCAAGGGGGCAGGCGGCGGCTGGAGAGAGCCCGCGGGTGCCACGGCCGCCGCCGGCTGCCGCGAACCGCCGATGAGTTTCCTTATAAGGAACGACGTGGTGGGCGCAGTGATAGGTGAGCGCGGGCCGGCGGGCGGGCGGCGGCGGGGCGGCAGCAGCGCGGGGCGCGATTCTGTGGCGGGCAGAGGTGTGGACGGGAGAGAACCTCCTGGAAGACTCGCGCAGCCTCCGCGGTAAAGCGGGGGCACCCTCGAGGACGTGTTCGTAGACGAGGATGCGGTCGTGTCAAGCCAGCCTTGGCTTTGTTTCTGCCTTAGTCTACTTGCCGTAACTTTAACTGCGGAAAGCTGCGCATGGGGTTACAGGTGCAATTTTCAGGTTTTCTGAGATGCATTTGCAGCGATGGGGATGTTGCCCTCAAGTTAGTATCCGGCGTTAATTCCTAGTTCCTAGGTTTTGGTTTTTGGTTTTTGTCTTTTGTTTTGTTCCCTGGGTTCTTGGAGTTAATGTTTTTAGTTCTAAAAACCTGCTTTGGGGTGTGTTTATCGTTATGCTTTAATGCTGGTTACTAGAGTAGACAGATTTCGTTTGGTTGAGCGGGAACCTCACCAGAGAGCCAATAGGTTTGCAATAGAAATTAGAACTGCTGCAAGAAGCAGTGAACTGTAGGCGTCGGAGTACTCACACTTCTCATTGGGCATGTTCTCATTCTGGATATTGAACCCAGGGCATCCCAAATAACTAGGTGCAGACTCTACTGCTGAGCTACATTCTTAGCCTCGCAACCTATACGGTTTATTCGTATGTGTTTGTCTTAAAATATTACAGTCTTATTTTCTCATCTACTTTTCTTCTCTTAACACTGTTTCTTTTCCTGCTGGTATTCAGGGTTGAACCCGGAGCTTCATAAAGGTTTATGAAAATGCTTTACAGGGGTAAATCTACTGCTACCTAGATCTCTTCTTTTTTTATGGTTTTTCAAGACAGGGTTTCTCTGGCTTTGGAAGCTGTCCTGGAACTAAACTCTTTTTTGGTTTGTTTGTTTGTTCTCGCTCGGTAGACCAGGCTGGTCTAGAACTCACAGAGATCCGCCTGCCTCTGCCTCCCGAGTGCTGGGATTAAAGGTGTGTGCCACCAACGCCCAGCCGGAACTAACTCTTGTAGACCAGGCTGGTCTAGAACTCACAGAGATCCGCCTGCCTCTGCCTCCTGAGTGCTGGGATTAAAGGCGTGAGCCACCAATGCCGGGCGCTATTTTTATTCTTAAAAATAAATATATAATGCAGTGTTAATGGTACATGGAAGATTGTGTCCCCCTCTTCCATGATTAGAACTATACCATTTCTTTCTCCTGGTTCTTATGCCTCCATGTCGACATTCTGTGCTGTTGGAGTCTTTTTCTTTAGATCCTCAAATAGAATTTTGGGATTGGTTTGCTGGGGTTAGCATAATGCCCTCAATCATCTTCTGTTCCCTAGTATCTGACAATTTCTTTTTTAAGACCGAAAGTCAGTTCCTTATTGTATATCTCTTCCCACTGTTGAGCCTATCCACTCTCCCTTGGTGATGCTTGAGTGGCTTCCAGCTTTTTACTTTGGTGAGCAGTGCTTCTGTGAGCACGGAAGTGCAGATACTCACCACCAAGCTTCCAGTTCTTTTTTTTTTTTTTTTTTTTTTTTTTTTTTTTTGGTTTTTCGAGACAGGGTTTCTCTGTGGCTTTGGAGGCTGTCCTGAAACTCACTTTTTAGACCAGGTTGGCCTCGAACTCACAGAGATCCGCCCACCTTTGCCTCCCGAGTGCTGGGATTAAAGGCGTGCACCACCAACGCCCGGCCCAGTTCTTTTTACATGTGTACTCAGTCATGGTAATGCTGGATTAGTTGGTAGGACTTCTGTTTGTTTTCTCCAGTTATGCAAGTAGTTCCCAGGTTTCCAATTTGACATGTGTATTTGTTTTAAATAGTAGCTATTCTGGGGGAGTGGTAGAGCATGCACAGAACTCTTGGTTCAATACCAAGTACTGCAGATAATCTTTTTAAAAGGGGATAAAGTTGGACATGGTGATTTAACCATTTAATCCCAGCCCTCTGCAGGAAAAAGCAGATCTGGTAAGTATATTGAGTTCTGTGCAGTTGGCACTATATAGTGAGAACCTGTGTTCTTGGTTGGCAACTTGACTATAGTATAGTGTTCTTGGTTGGCAACTTGACTATCTGGAATGAACTTCAGCACAGAAATGGAGGGCACACTTCTTATCCAGTTCTTGAGTCAGGGAAGGATCACCTTTAATCTGTGCCACACCTTCTGCTGGAAGCCTGTATAAGGACAATGGAAGCGGGAAGGGTTCCTTCATCCTTTACCTGCTTATCCTCATCTTGTCAGCAGATCCATTTCTTCACTGGCATTGGGATTACAGCATACACAGAAGATCAGCTGAGATGCCCAGCCTTGTGGAGCTGAGCAACTACCAGATACTTGGGCTTTCCATTCACAGTTAGCCTTTCTCCTGTTCTTCTCCAGAGGGACCTATAGCCTTTTACAAGGTTAACTGTACACAGGGGGAAAGGAAGCCATCAGACTTTCCAGGGTCTGTTGGATACTGGTTCTGAATTGATGGTGTTTCTAGGAGATCCCAAGAGACATTGTGGCCCTCCAGTTAAAGTAGGGGCTTATGGATGTATAATTGGGAGAGATACACTTAGAAGTCGGCAGAGTCCTCACATTGGTTCCCTGACCTGTGGAGTGAGGGCTATTATGGTTGGAAAGGCAAATGATGCCTTAAGAGTTGCCCCTGCCAAGGAAAATAGTGAAACAAAACAGTGTCGCATACTGGAGAAATTATAGAAATTAGTGCTGCCATCAAGAACTTGAAAGAAGCAGGGGTGGTGGCTCTCACCACATCTCCCTTTAACTCCTATCTGGCCAGACCAGAAGACAGGTAGATTGTGGAGAATGACAACTGACTACCAACAATTCAGTCAGCTGCTGTACCAGATGTGGTGTCCTTCCCTGAGCAGATTAACACATCTACTGATGCATGGTATTGCTCTAGCAAGTGCCTTTTTCTCGGTACCCATCCATAAGGACAACCAGAAGCAATTTGCTTTCAGTTGGCAAGGCCAGCAGTATACCTTACAGTTTTGCCTCAGATATGTTATCTCTACAGCCCTGTATCACAGTTGAGAAGGAATCTTAATTGTTTGCCTCTTCCACAAAGTATCCCACTGGTGTGCTACATTGACATGCTGATTGGACCAAGTGAGCAGGAGGTAGCAACCACTTAGAACCCATTGATAACACATGTGTATCAGCAGATGGGAAATAAGTTCAACAAAATTTCAAGGACCTACTACCTCAGTGAAATTCTTAAGCCTTCAATGGTGTAGGGAATGTAGAGATACTTTCTGAGGTGAAGGATAAGTTTCTGCAGCTGGCTCCTCCTACCACTGAGAAAGAAGCACAGTGTTTACTGGGTCTGTTTGGATTCTGGAGAAAGCATGTTATTCTGGCCCTATATACTAAGTGACTCAGAAAGCTGCTAGCTTTGTGTGGGGCCTGGAAGAGAAGACTTTTCAACATGTCCAGGCTGCAGTGCAGTCTATACTACTTGGACCATGTAATTCAGCAGACCCCAGGATATTTGAGGTGTCAGTGGCAGATAGGGATGCTGTTTGTAGCCTTTGAGATTTGGAGCAAGGTTCTACCATTATCTTGGCCTACTATTGGGCCACCTAGCCATAAGGTAGGATTTGCACAGCAACAATATTATCAAATGGAAATGCTATATATGAGATGGGCCCAAGCAGGTCCTGAAGGCCCTCCCCTCCATGGCCTCTGCATCAGCTCCTGTCTCCAGGTTCCAGCTCTGCTAGAGTTCCTGTTCTGACTTCCTCCAATGATGGACTATGATCTGGAAGTGTAAGCCAAACACTTGTCTCCATCTCGGTGAAAGAAGCCTCCTACTACCCACACAAATGCAAAATGTCTGCTGAGTGTGGTGGTACAGAACTTTAATCCCAGTACTTGTGAGTCATAGGCAGGCGGATGAGTTCCAGGCCAACCTGGTATACAGGGCAAGTTCCACGACAACCAGGGCTGTTACACAGAGAATCCCTGTCTTGTAAAAAGGACAAACAAACAAAAAAACCAAATGTGAATGCCATCCTCTTATTTACTGCAACCTAAAAACCTTCCCTTGAGTGATCTGGGGAAGAACCACACAAGGCCTTTGAGGGAATTATGTAGACCTCTTTTACTGATTTCAGTTCATAACCATATATTTCTTTATTTTTAAAAACAGGTCGTGGAGGGTCAAAAATTAGAGAAATCCAAAATACAACAAACACTAAAATACAGGTAAGTTATCTGTGTTCCTGAACCCTGAGAGGTAGCTCTTCATGAGGAGCACCCGACTCTAACAGCTGCTTTGTGCCTTTGCACCCAGCTAAAAATACATTATAAAAGTACACTGTAAAGTCTGCTGAGATTGCATCTCCTAGGAGTAACAGGGAAGCTACACCCATCAAACCTCAACAGTATGGCTCTCTACTCTTTGAAGACTGCCATCTACTTCCCAACACTAGGACATAGTTTAGTAATAGAGCACTTACCTGGCATGTGTGAAGCCCTACATGCAATCCTCAGTAGTAGTGTAATAAATCGTTACTTATATATTCTACTATTCTAGTTCTCATTACACTAGCCTTCTTTAGAGCAGTGGTGACACACACCTTTTAATCCCAGCACTCAGAAGACAGAGGCAGGCAGATCTATGAGTTGAAGGCTGGCCTGGTCTACAGAGTGAGTTCCAGGATAGATGGGGCTACACAGAGAAAACCTGTCTCAAAAAACTAATCAGCCAGGCAGTGGTGGTGACACCTTTAGTCCCAGCACTCAGGATTAAAATTGGTTCTCTCCTATCAGTGGGATCTAGAGGTTGAACTCAAGGCCAGGCTTTGGGGGCAGGCACCTTTGTCTATTGAGTCATCTACCAGTGCATTCTGAATAACAGATTGTTACTCAGAGAGACTAATCCAGGCAGCTGCATAGGATCTCAAACTGGACATGGAATAGTAGCAAGGCCATGCTTGCATTTTCTTGCTATTTGAAGTTGAGTAATTATCAGACTTGACAAAGAGACTTCAATCTCACCTGTGCTTCTTCCTTTGCATCTAGGTAATAAAAGGAAACCCCGAGGCAGAAATCAAAATATTTGGGAGTAAAGCCATGCAAAAAAAAGCAAAAACAGTGATAGATAATATCGTTAAAAAACAACAAAATTACGTCCCAGGACACAGAGTTGGTAAGTAAGTTTTACACATTTAAGTGCTTTTGTTTATTGTTTATTGTTATTGAGACAGATTCTCACTATGTAGCCTTAGCTGGTCTGGAACTGTCTATTTAGACCTTGAACCCATAAAGCTAGGATTAAAGACATGTACCACCATGCCAAGCCTGCTCTATAAAATTTTTTCAATTATTCTTTCATATATTACATCCTGACCACAGTTTCCCCTCCATCCTGTCTTCCCAGTGCCTTCTACCTTCTCTTCCCCCCAGATCCACTCCTCCATTTCCTATAAGAAAAAAAGTAGGCTTCCCAGGGATATCAACTCACAGAGATCTGCCTGCCTCTGCCTCCCAAGTCCACCATCGCCTGGCCAATAACCACCTTTTGGTTCTCTTAGACTTTATATCTTACTGGATTCTCCCATTATATGCTAAATTTCTGGGTCAGGTCTTCAGTTTGTAGGGGTTTTTGTTTATTTAATTCTAGTTTATTTATTCTATGTACAGTGTTCTGCCTGCCTGTACACCTGCAGGCCAGAAGAGGACACCAGATCTCATTATAGATAGCTGTGAGCCACCATGTAGTTGTTGGGAATTGAACTCAGGTCATCTAGAGGAACAGCCATCTGCTCTGAGCCAACTCCCCAGCCCCTGCTGTTGTTGTTTTGAGACAGTCTCGCTATGTAGACTTATCCCCTGCCTTCTGAGTGCTGGGATAATACCCATGCCAGGCTGAGTGGGGTCTTTTGGACAGTAGCTTGTTGGCTAATTCATTTTGGGGCAGCATGTGGAACATACTAGGACCTTCATACTTGAGTGAGTGCCTGGCACAGAAAGCCTGGATTCTCACCACCCACTATGCTGAGAGAGACATTTGAATCGAGACTTAAATGATTGGGCTACTCCTACTAGCCAGTCTGCTCAGGAGAACCTCTGTGTCTACCCTCCTAGTTCTATGATTCCAGGAGGACAACCCACTTAGAATATACATGGGGATGGGGGTCCAAATATGGTCCTCATGCTTGCTTTGAGTCTCCCTAGACCCTGAAAATTACAGATTTTTACATTTCAAGTATTAATATCCTTATGTGAATAAACACAATAAAAATATTGCATTGGTGATTTTGTGCTCTCTGATTACTTCAAAGCTAATTGTAAAAATCTTTTAACAGATATTATCGCGTTCCAACCCTCTGTTGGAACAGATGCCAGTACAAGTGAAAATGTAAAGGAAGATCAGCCACTAATAGATTGGGACCAAATTCGAGAAGATGCTCTTAAGTGGGAAAAGAAAAAGTGGGCAGGTCAGTGCTGTATCCTTGTGTTTATATGCGGTGATGCTGTTTCTTTCTGCCTCTGTACCCAGCTTCTTAACCTGTGGGTCTTGACCCACGTAGGGTCATGTTACTGAATTTAAAGGTAATGAAAAGTGTGGCGACAGTACAAGGTTCCTAATCACTCGGGGATCAAGCAAACTGTATGCATATAGAGAACTTAATATTATTCTTGTTTGATATTTGTAATTTTGAGTAAGTATTAATAAATGTCCATTCTCATTTATCATTGTCATCTTTGTCCCAGATTTACCTCCAATTAAGAAAAACTTTTACATAGAGTCAACATCGACGAGCTCAATGTCCCAAGTGCAGATAGACAACTGGAGGTGGGTAGTTGTTTCATTACTTCAGTGTGTCCTTGGGTTCTTACTGTTGACTTACTAGGCAAGGATTTCGAATGATGGTATTGGGACACTATACCCAGCTTCCATGTCTGTTCAACTGAAACCTTGGCTGCATCTCACATGATGAATTTTAGAGCATAGTTGTCAAATTCTACTGTGGAGCATGGTGACACATGCCTGTAATCCCAGCAAGGTCAGCAAGACTGTCACAAACAACAAATGCCCTATTGTGATGGTGGATGGTCTGTTTGTGCCTCAGAGACCATATACAGCAACACTTACTGTGGTTCCTGTAGACAAGAAACTAAATATGATATTTTCTGGGGATGTCACAGTATACCTCAACCTGCATGACAGTGTCCCCATAAGATTATAAGTACCTGAAGTACTAAATGATTGTAGCTGCCATAAATACAGTGAAGTGCATTATTCATGTGTCTGTGGTGACAGTGGAGCAACTAAAGCTTTATAGTGAGAGTAAGCAACTGCTACTAGTATGTTTGCTATACTTTTGTTATTTTAAAGTGTTCGTCCTGACAAAGTAAAATAGGACTATCCAGACATGATGGCACACACCTGTAATCCCAGCCCTCTAGATGAAGGCAAGGATCAGAAGTTGAAGATCATTCTTGTCTAGGTAGTGAGCATGAGCAGTCAGGGATACAAATCCCTATTTCAAAAAAAAGGAAGGATTGCAGTATGCCATGTTATACTGTCAGAAAACACCTATCTGTTCCATATAAAAATTTATTTTTATGTCTGTATGAGTGCCTACATACATGTATATGCACTGCATGAGTGCCCATGGGGCTGTAACCTGCCCTTTGTTGGTGCTGGGACCCACACCCAGGTCTTTTGCACGTGTAGTAAGTGATCTTAACGCTGAGCTCTCTGTCCATTCTCAAACTCATATCTGGCTTTTATTACTGGCAATTCCTTGTGTCCCTTCCAATCCCTCTCAAACTCATGTTTTTTTTTTCCTCGTTGTTACTGTTACATATCATTGTTGCATGAATTATACAACCTACTGAGCCCATTTGTTGTTGCTTAAGTGTATGCTTTCAGGGCTGACTACTTTGTGTTAGATAACCAAGTAGGTCCTTTGTCCTTGGGAAGACTGATTCTTCCTCCCTAAACAGTCATCAGTTGCCTGTAGCTCTTCATTTGAGAGTGGGACTTCCCTTCCATCAACCTTGGCATGTCAGCTGGTGTATTGTTCAGGTCTTATTTAGGCAGCCATGTATTTGAGATTTCATGGGTGCATCTTCCCTCATCAAGAAGACACAATTTTACCAAAGATGACCTGGTCGATGGCTCTTATAATCTTTCCACTTTATCTTTGATGTTCCCCTAGCCTAAGATGTAAGGGTTGTCTTACAGATATATCAATTAGAGCTGACCATTCTAGTCAGTTTGTTCTCTGAATTTTGACCTGGTGTATTTTCCTGTAATTATGTTTGCTACAAAACAAAGAATAATTTCTTGAGTTCTTATCTGAAGTCAGAAGTTTTTGGGTTTTTTTAATTTGTGAGTGTTTAGCCTATGAGCCCTAGTCCTTTGCAAATAGTACTCTTAACCACTGAACCATCTCTACAACCCCTTATTAACAACCAGTTTTTACTGGGCATAGTAGGACCTGTCTGTAATCTTAGCACTCTGGAGATTGAGGTAGGATGGAGTTTGAGGCACGCCAAGGCCACCTAGGGCTCTGCAAATATATATAAATACAAAATCAGAAAAATGATTTAGATAATGCTAAGCCTTGGTCAAATAACTAATCTTAGGATTGTTAATCTAGTTTTGTATTAATTCACGTATTTGGATTCCATTTTCCATATTCATAATAGGTTTTCCTCATAATAAGGAAACAGATTCCTATTTTTCTTTTTGTATGCTCATTTTTTTTACTTTTTTAACAGAGTCTGAATATCTCAGGCTGACCTCAAACTTTCAATCCTCCTGTCTCCACCTCCAAGTGCTGGCATTCCAATGACCATGACCAGCCCTCCACGTCTAAGTCTATATCACCTTAAAGTTCTAAAAGTCTAGTTTTAATTACTGGCAGATGACTTTCTAGCTATTACCTGAATTGATTGTAAAATATTTTTGTTTGTTGGGTAAATTGAACAAATCCACTAATCCTTGTATTTTCTATAAAGGAAAGAAAACTTTAATATAACATGTGATGACTTGAAAGATGGTGAGAAACGTCCTATCCCCAACCCTGTATGTAAATTTGAAGATGCCTTTCAGAGTTATCCAGAAGTTATGGAAAACATTAAAAAAGCAGGGTTTCAAAAACCTACACCAATTCAGGTACGCTTTTTTTCGTGTCAATATTTCAATGAACATCACCCCCCTCCCCAGTTAATGTCTGTTAGAAGTTAAATCACCAGGGAATAGCTGTGTCTTAAAAGCATGTGTCCAGTACCTCCTGCCAGCACTGCCAATGACTATCATAAAATGTGTTTAAAAATATAAAAAAGAGACAGCAAGATGTGTTGTAACTCTTGTTTCATCATTTATCATTCTTTTTCAGTCTCAGGCATGGCCAATAGTTCTGCAAGGAATAGATCTTATTGGAGTAGCACAAACGGGAACAGGGAAGACATTATCCTACTTAATGCCTGGATTCATTCACCTGGATTCGCAACCCCTGTAAGAATTCCTTTGGCTCTATTATATCTTATTATGGATTTAACAAATATAGTACCAAAACCTATGGTTAAATTCCTGTCATTTCTTGCATTGACCAGGCTGCACATGGCTGTACAGTCATAAAACCATTTTAGAAAGCAATAGGCAATGTCTACCAAAAGTCATAATAAAAAAAGCCACGGCAATTAAATTGTCCTAAATAATGTTGTTTAATTAAAATTGTATGAATATATTGTCCAGTATAGCTTTAGTCAATGAGAAAATGAAATGTGGGAAAAAAGTCATGTTAAATGAACAAGTATTTGGGCCCTAGATTGAGGTGTATGTGGCTTATTTCTGGCTGGGGTTTTTGTTTGTTTGTTTTTTTGTTTTTGGTTTTTCGACAGGGTTTCTCTGTATTGTTTTGGAGGCTGCCTTGGAACTTGCTCTGTAGATCAGGCTGGCCTCCAACTAACAGAGATCCGCTTGTCTCTGCCTCCTGAGTGCTAGGATTAAAGGCATGCGCCACCAACGCCCAGCCTATTTTCTGGCTTTTGTCATTTTGTGGTAACTCTCCCTTTGTAATAAAAAAAATTACAGAAAACTTATATCAGCAGCTGATTTTTTAGGTATGTTCATTGAAATTAATAACCCAAAGTCTACAGGAGGAACTATTTTGGTTTTTGGAGACAGATTTTCTCTGTAACAGTCCTGGCTATCCTGGCACCTGCTTTGTAGACCAGGCTGACCTTGAACTCACAGAGATCCACCTACCACAGCCTACCACTGCACCACCACTTGGCTACAGGAGAAACTTTTAATCTACAAATGTCTTTTATGCATCTTTGAAACTCATCACTACAAATTTTGCACTTAATGAACTTGCCATGCATTTAAGACAAATAACTTAATGTTATTGTTTCCCTTTTAAAGACCTAGAGAAAAAAGAAATGGACCAGGCATGTTAGTCCTTACTCCTACGAGGGAGTTAGCCCTTCAAGTAGAAGCTGAATGTTCTAAATATTCATATAGCGATCTTAAAAGGTAAGTCATTCCTATGTTTGTAGTAACTATTTAAGTTTATGGGGGGGTGACTGGAGAGATGAGATGGCTCAGTGCTTCAGAGCACTGACTGCTTTCAGAGCACCCACATGGCAGCTCATACCTAATTCCAGTTCCATAGGATCTGATACCCATGGCAAAACATCAATATACATAAAAATTAGTGTGTGTGTATATATGTGTGTATTCACAGCCTTGTGCTAACTGGCCAAGTTTTCAACAAAGTCATGCATAGTAATAATGTACCATGTCATGTTTCACTATGTGTATAATGTAATATTTAAGTTGTATTAAACCTTTCCTCAAACATTTTTTCTGAGACAGTGTCTCTCTCTCTCTCTCTCTCTCTCTAACCTTAGCTGTCTGTCCTAGAACTCACTGTAGACAGAGATCCACCTGCTTCTGCCTCCTGAGTGCTTAAATATCTTTTGAGGTGTAAACATTTAAAACATAACTTTTATGGACTGGCAAGATAACTCAGTAGTTTGGTTTCTAGCACCCAATGCAGTCAGCTCACACCCACTTATAACCCCAGCTGCAGGGAAATCCCACACTTCTGGCTCCAAGAGCACCTTCACTCATGGGCACATACTTTTGTGCAGACAAACACATAAAATAGTACAAATAAAGCTTTAAAAGCATACATTGTAGACAGGCAGTGGTGGTGAATTCCTTTAATCCCAGCACTTGGGAGGCAGAGGCAGATGGATCTCTGAGTTCAAGGCCAGCCTAGTTCTAGGACAGCAAGGCTACACAGAGAAACCTTGTATTGTAATACATGGTATTAAAATTACTGCTCTGTTGAGCTGGAGAGATGGCTCAGTGGTTAAGTGCACTGGCTGTTCTTCAAGAGGACCTGGTTTCAGTTCCCAGCAACCACATGGCAGCTCCCAACTGTCTGTAGCTCCAGTTCCAGAGGATCGGACATTCATGGAAAACTGCACATAAAATAAAAATAAATCTTTTTTAAGTTACTGCTGTGTAGGTTCTTATTCAAGTTTACCTTTTGTTACAGCTTCTGACATCTTCATTAGTTCACAACTTCAGAATCTGATGTGATTAACAATAGCCATATCATATAGGGCTAAAATATGTAGAAACATGGTACTTTAGGAAACACATTGTATAGCCAGGTGTTGGTGGTCCACGCCTTTAATTCCAGCACTCAGTAGGCAAATCTCTCTGAGTTAGAGGCCAGCCTGGTCAGCAGAGCGAGTTCCAGGACAGCCTCCAAAACAATAGAGAAACCTTGTCTTGAAAACCAAAAAAGAAGAAATACACTGTAGGCTGGCAGTATAGATGGTTTCCCCAAAGGACAGATATTCCTAAAAGCATCATAGATATTATTTTATTTCATCTTATCCTATAACAAAAATGCTTAGGTTAGTTGCAATTTTGAGTTATGATGGAATGTTCTTTTCCTAAACATGAATTTCTGGTTTTCTTTTAAAGTGTTTGTGTATATGGTGGTGGTGATAGAGATGGACAAATACAAGATGTTTCAAAAGGTGTAGACATCATTATTGCAACTCCGGGAAGATTGAATGACCTACAAATGAATAACTTTGTCAACCTGAAAAGTGTAACCTATTTGGTAATGATGGAGTAAGGGTTTGGAATACTGGGAGGGAAAAGAACTGAATTTGTAGGAAATGGGAGTGGGGATGGCTGTTTTTATGGTGCTCATTTTTCTCATTCAGTAGTCATAGAAGAGACTGGGAATCAAATTAAACAAATGAGCCTGTATTCTCTGTCCACAGAAAGTTTATTCTGGTCTCTGAGAAGTAATAGGGGAAATGAGTGTTTAGATATGAGATTGGCCACATTCTTCACTTTGAATACAGGTTTTAGATGAAGCAGACAAAATGCTGGACATGGGATTTGAACCCCAGATAATGAAGATTTTGTTAGATGTACGCCCAGACCGGCAGACTATTATGACAAGGTAAGTATGTCTAATTATGTATTCAGAATATGAATCAGTAAATTAAGAACCATCAGTATTACTTGAAAGTATTTATCCTTATTTCTATGCAGTAGGTGGTGGGCTTGTTACATTTGTTACATTTTTTATTGAGACACTATGCAATTATGCCTAGCCTGGAACTTTACATGTAGACCAGGCTGGCCTCAAACTCAGATCTGCCTCAAGTACTGGAATTGAAGGCATACACTATCATGCCCAGCTATATTTATATTTGCTTGTGTCACAGGGTGGCCTCTGGGAATGGGAAGGTTGTCAGCCTTGCCAGTCAGTGCTCTCACCTGCTTGAGCCGTTCACAATGGATGTTACACGAAAGTTGCTTTTCATGGAAAAGGATCTTATGTTGAATAAATGATCACTTATTTCTACAGATAAATATTTGATTTTGGATTACTTTTCCTGATATAAAACTGAGAAAGCAATGATTGCGTGATTAAGAATGCTTGTTGCTCATGCAGAGCACCCAGATTCAGTTCCCAACATCCATTACCACCTGTCTCCATTCCCAGAAAGTCTGCCCCTGACCTGTAGAGGCGCCTGCAGTCAAACATACCCATGCACACATACATGTAATTAAAATAATACAACTAAATCTTTCTTTAAAGAATAGTGTATGACTCCCAGAAGGCTCAGGAACTGTTACAGAAGAGGAGGCAGATGGAATGTCAGAACCACAGATCAGAGAGAACTAGAAAGCAGTGTCTTCTTACAAGCATACAAGACCTGCATACAATTGATCTAGTTGATATTCTAGCATGGATTGGACAGTGTGGGGTGGGGGACTCAAGGCAGTTGCCAGTAGAAAGTCAGTTTTCTTCAGGGATGGGGCCATAGTAGGTTGTTTATGCTAAGGTGGATATCCCTACAACAGCACATTTGAATTCATTATGGTTATGTGTGTGTGAGTGAAAAGGGAAGAGGCAGTCAGATCTGAGTTCCATGCCAGCCTGGTCTCCAGTGTGGAGTTCAGGACAAGGCTCCAAAGCTACAGAGAAACCCTGCCTTGAAAGAAAGATATTTGGTAACATGTTATACAGTTTTAATGTTGGTGTATCTTGTTTTGTTTCCAGTGCTACTTGGCCATATGCGGTCCGCCGTCTCGCACAGTCTTATTTGAAAGAGCCAATGATTGTCTATGTTGGCACTTTGGATCTAGTTGTAAGCTTGTTTTTATTACTACTAAAACTTTATACAGTGGAGTGTAAATGTTTAGCATTCATGAGGATATTTTTTGATGTCTATTTTGTCAGCTCAGTTTGCTATACACATATAATATGGGTTGGGGAGAGGGCTTAGTGAATAAAGTTCTTGCCACTCAGACATGCAATTCAGATCCTCAGAATCCAAGAGAAAACACAGGCAGATGTGGCAGTCACAAAGACAGGATTCCCCAGGACAAGGTAACTAGTGAGCCTAGCCACTAGTCAGAGAGCTCCTTATTTAATAAAGTGGGGAGCAATCAAAGATCTGTCAACTTTGGGCCTGTTCCAGGACAGTTTCCAAACCTACAAAGAAACCCTGTCTCAAACCCCCCAAAAAAGCTTGTCAATTTTCTATTAAATTGCCAAAGTACTCACAGAATTGAGATTCATGTTTCTAAATCTGATATGCAAAGTCCAGGAAGACAATTCTTGCTAACATGGTATTACTTTACAGTAGTCAGTAGCTTTTAGTGTGTCTGCAATCATTCATGTGTTCCCAGACTCTGTGGGTAAATAAATGACAAACATCAAAGAGTGAGCTGTAAGTGATGAGTAGAAATAGTAATTTTTCTGTGCTCACTACCTTTTTATTATAAATGCATTTCTGAGCCACTTGTGGGTGGTGCTAATATACTTTGATCTCTGGATTATTTAGGCTGTAAGTACCGTGAAGCAAAATATAATCATCACCACAGAAGAAGAGAAACGAACTCATATCCAAACATTCCTAGAGAATATGTCACCTAAAGATAAAGTCATCGTTTTTGTCAGCAGAAAAGCTGTGTAGGTATTTCTTTGTGCTTTCATTATCATCAGCAATCAGTTGATTTACTCATGAGTATTTTTGTATCTAATTTCAAATGGGGAAGTTGACAAATTGTTTGCTGGTTGATGGTTTTAGACTAAACGCTTAGGATCATTAACTTTATTCTTTGCTTCAGTGCTGATCACTTATCGAGTGATCTGATTCTCCGACACATATCAGTAGAGTCTCTGCATGGGAACAGAGAACAGAGTGACCGAGAGAAAGCATTAGAAAACTTTAAGACGGGTGAGTCATAATTGCTGCCTGTTGCAGTGATGGTATTTTTTCACATTTCCCATTTCTCAGTCTGTCCTCACATTGTAAATCCAGAATAGACTTGTTAGAGCTCTGAATGTTAATCTGAGACATAACTAGCTAACTCCACATAGATCAATACATGGACAAAGTTCAGAATATTAACTTGTAGTAGAGGGCTGTATATTAGACATATGCCATAGTTACTTTGCTATTGTGATAAAACTATGAATAAGACAACTTAGGAAAGGAAGGCTTTATTTGGGGCCCATCACCATCACCACGAAAAGCTTGATAACAGGCAGGCATGGTGTTGGAATAGCAGCTGAGAGCTCATGAAGCAGAGTTGCACTGGGGATGGTGGGAGGCTTCTGAAACTTCAAACCCTCCCCCAGTGATTTATACATTTTCCAACAAGGCCATACCTAATCATTCTCTAAAATTACGCCAACAGGAACTGAGCATTTAAACATAGTCTCTGGGGACCATTTTCACTCAGACAGAATGAAACATTGTTCAGACAGTTCAGGAAAGAACCATTTGCTGAACTGTGGTGTGTTGTGACTTTCCCATAGTTTACTCTTTTCCACATGTCTAAGCCTGGCTGTTACCAGATAGGTTTAGTGTTTATTTGCCTTTACTCTTTAGGTAAAGTGAGAATACTTATCGCTACTGACTTGGCATCTCGAGGACTTGACGTCCATGATATCACTCATGTCTACAATTATGACTTTCCACGGAACATTGAAGAATATGTACACAGAGTAGGACGCACAGGGAGAGCAGGGTAAGCCATCTGGGTCTACCAGGGAGAGAAACCAATTCTGGTTCTGGATTCCCTTCACCCCCCGCAGACTGCTCGCTCTTAGAAACCCATTTTATTCCCTTGTAAACGTTTTTGTTCTTCTCTAGGCCCTTATTTTATCCCTTTTTATTTGGATGAACTAGATCCTCCTGTGATTAACTTCTTGTAATTGGAATTTTTTCAATTGTTTTCTGTGGGTTTTGTGTGTGTTTCATTTTTGGTGTTAGTTTATGTGTGTGGGTACTTTGTGTGAATGTTGGTGTACATGTCAAAAGTATAGGATCCATTACAGATGATTGTGAGTTACCGGTGGTTGTTGGGAATTGAACTCAGGACCTCTGGAAGAGTGGCCAGCACTCTTAACAGCTAAAGCCATCTCTAAACCCCGTGTGTTTGAGTCTTTTTTGCAGTACTGGGGACTGAATTCCAGCCCTCGTATACACTAGGAAGTGTTCTGTCACTGGGCCTCTTTGTACCCCTACCTCATCGTCTGTAAACTGCCCAGGCAAGCCTTCAACTTTGGGATCTTCCTGCTTTAGTTTCCCTTGTTTGTAACTGTTTGTGCAAATGTTTTAAGCCTGCATTATTCCAACAATGAACTGTGCTCAGTGGTTACTTTTATTGTTATTGACAAAGTATTCAAATTTTTACCCCGTTGAACCCTTGGGCTGTTTTTAAAGTAACTGAAAATTCCAGACTTCTGAACCCAGAATTTGTGTTTCAGACCTAACCAACTATAAATCAAAAATTATTTTTAAAAACAGCTTCTATGGGGCTGGAGAGATGGCTCAGAGGTTAAGAGCATGGACCTCTCTTCCGGAGGTCCTGAGTTTAATTCCCAGCAACCACATGGTGGCTTACAACCATCCATAATGAGATCTGGTGCCCTCTTCTGGTGTGCAGGCATACATGGAGGCAGGATGTTGTATTCATAATAAATAAATAAATCTTTAAAAAAAAATAACGGCTTCTATGGTGGTGGTACATGCCTTTAATCTCAGCACTCTGTGAGTTCAGAGCTAGTTCCAGGACAGCCTGAACCCTATCTCAAAAAACCAGCGCCACCCCAAAAAAATAAAAGGGCCTCTATGGAGTTGGAGAGATGGCTCAGTGGTTTAAGAGCACTGGCTGCTTTTCTAGAGGACCAGGGTTTTCAATTCCCAGCATCCTCATGGCAACTCACAACTGTCTGTAACTCCGTTCAGATCATCCGACACTTCATACAAACATACATGCAGGCAAAACACCAATGTACATAAATACATTTTTTAAAACTGCCTGTGCTGAACACAGATTTTTTTCTTATCTTTGTAGAGTATGTGTTCACATGCAGTAATTTAATCTAGTTATGATTTACATTATACAGGACAATACATCCTCTGATTTGATGACTTCATGGGGTCCTGGAGCCCTGCAAAAGGATAACTTTAGATTCTAAATTGCTGTTTATGTGATATTAACTCTATAACACATACATGTAAAGGTTGAGGTTTCTTGTTTTTCTTCTGTTTTCTATATTAAACAAATTATAAGTACACCGTATAAAGTAAGTTGCATGAACTTTTTCCCTCTTAAAGGCGAACCGGTATGTCAATTACCCTCATCACAAGAAATGATTGGAGAGTTGCCACTGAATTGATTAATATTCTGGAAAGAGCAAATCAGGTGAGAATATACAACTTATTGGAAATTTACATGTTAACATTTGTTATACCAGCTACTGAAAGCTCTGCTTGGGAAGTAAGATCTGTAACAAAACCCTAATATGAGGGGTATAACATGGCAAAGATTGTGAGCTATGGAAGTATATAATTGAGAACCCTAATGTGATAGGAGTAACCAATAGATAGCAATGGGAACAATCTAGGTCCAGTGGTGAAACAATACGTGAGAAATGGTGCCATTAAGAAGGGTTGTTGGCAAACTAGGGGTGAGAAGAAGCCATGTAGTGAAAGCCTCCTGTTTTGTGACTCATCTTATATACCTAGGATGGCACCCACGTAGGGCTCACAATCATTTGTAACTCTAGTTCCAGAGAATCCCCCTTCTGGTCTGTACGGACACCAAACACACAAGTGGTTTCATACAATAAAATGAAACAAAAATTTGAAAATAAAAGTATGTGTTCAGGGAACTGTTAGGAGTAGAAGGATGATGGTCCATTGGTCTGTAGCTTAGAAATATATTTAGGATTTAACTGGCAAAGAAAGGCTTTCTTTTCTGTCCTTTTATTTTTTCTTTTTGAAAGATGTCTCTTGTAACTGGAATTCAGAATCCTAATAACACACTTAATAATTGCAGAATATCCCAGAGGAGCTTGTCTTAATGGCTGAGAGGTACAAAGCAAATAAACAAAAAAGAGAAATGGAAAAAAAATTGGGAAGACAGCAAGGAAAGCCACAGAAGTTTTACTAATGCCTGGTGTTGCAGGTAAATTTTTATGGTGTAGGCATTCAAATTGCTGTCTTTTTGTTTGTTGCATTGCTGTATGTTCCTGGAGACAGGGTCTCTTTATGTATCTCTGGATGTCTTAGAACTCACTATGTAGACCAGGTGGGTCCTGAACTCTTATCTACTTTTGCCTCCCAAATTCTGGGATTAAAGATGTGTACTACCACACCCAGCAAATATCTGTCCCTCAAAACTAGGTTAAAACGGTATATGTATTACAATCCCTAAGAACTGCTAGCATAATAAATGGTGAAAATTTACTCTTTCACCTGTTAATAAGCCATTTTTTAGACTGGCCTCCTACCTGCCTCCCTTCTGCCTTTTCTGTCTTAGCCTCCCAAGTGCTAGTTACAGGTGCAACTTACATCTTTATCAAGTGACTATCAAAAAATGTCAGGTGTTGGCAAGCATGTGGAAAAATTGAACCTCTTGTCCACTGTCTCCTGTGGACCATGGTGCTTCCTTAGCAATCATGATGCCACAAATCTACTGAGTATATATTCAAAATAATAGGAAGCAGGACCTCAGAAATGTATGCCCTCAATTCATAGCATCATACTTAAAAAACAGCACTACTTTCTTGGAAGCAACCCTGTTGAAAAATACGTAACTATGTAAAGATGTGTTGCTTTTTTTGTTGCAGAATATTTAATATGTAAAGATGTTGCACTTGATTACTCTTATAAAGAGCTGAATAACCTATATCAAGGGAGACGGTATAGGTGGAACTTCCAGGTAGAAAGAGTAAGTAGGAGGAACAATTTAGGCTCAAAGAAGTACAAGGAGAAACAAGGGAGGCACCAAGAGCCAGACAGACACAGAAGCAGGAAAGTAGGATGTACAGAATGAAAGAAAGGTAAAAGGCCCTGAGGCAAAATGTAGATAGAAGCAGGTTAAACTAAGTTAAAAGAGCCTGTGCACTCTTTAATCTCAGCACTTGGGAGTGTACACTTGAAAGTGGTTGTGATAGTGTACTTCATATTGTGTAATCATACCACCTTTTAAAAAAGAATTTTGAGCTGGGCAGTAGTGGCAAATACCTTTATAAGCACTTACAGGAGGTAGAGGCTGGCAGATTTCTGAGGCCAGTCTGGTCTACAGAGCAAGCTCCAGGACAGCCAGGGCAACACAGAGAAACCCTGTCTCAACAACAACAACAACAACAAAAATTGTAAATAGTAACTTTTCTCTCACCTATTTTTCAGGATTCAAGATGTTATTGGGATTTTGAAACGTACACCAATATGAAGAGACTTGGCTGATTAAAATAATAGTGTTTTTTAAATGTAGAATTCAATGTTTTATACTTTCTTTAATAAAAATCAATAGTTTTTAACCTTGTTGAAATTTTTCATGGATATTTGTTAAGGTAGTGCTAAAATGTCTTTTAAAAAGAAAACTTTTGGGCCTGAGGATGTTGCTCAGTGGTAGGGTGCTTGCCTACTCTGTGAGATCAAGGGTTCAACCCTCAGCACTGCAAAAGAAAAAAAAACCCACCGTTTTCACCTGTAGTGTTGCTGCACCAACATATAAAGAGTCTGTTTGTTCAGATGCTGTCATGCAGTGAAGAAGATACTGTGAAAAAAGTTCTGATTCTTTCGAGACAGGGTTTCTCTGTAGCCTTTGCAGCCTGTCTTAGAACTCACTCTGTATACCAAGCTTCCCACAAAATCACAGAAATCTGTCTTTGCCTCCCAAGTGCTGGGATTAAAGACATGTGCCACCACTGCCTAGCCAAAGTATTGATTTTTGCAATAAAAAGAAAAGTTGATTTTTTTTTCTTTCTGGGTGGTGAGGCATTTCCATCAAACCCATAACTCTTACTTGGTCACCCTAGAAAAATCAAGCTGTATTTACATTAATACTTCTTCAATCTCATTCATATAACTGCTCCCTTATGATTTTGTGTTACCTGTTCTGTTGTAAATGGCAGTTATTTATATATTTGAGCTCTAGGGTCTGTATAGCTTTTTTTTGTTATATTTATGTGTATGTTATGTATGATAGTGTTAGGCCATCCTCAAGCCTACATTATTCATCCACACAGTGTTTGCTGAGATTTAGTGGCAAAACTAATAATAGAAAAAAGGAAACAGTCAGAAATCAACAGATGAATCTCCAGAAAAAATACACATGTGTCAGGTAAATTTGAGGTTTTCAAGGCAGGGTACCATGTATCCTAGGCCTGACTTAACTGACACAATTTAAAGGGTACAAACAATTACAAACAGTCCCATATTTGAGGGGACTGCATTCAAAGCCCCCAGTAGATGCTTGGAACTGGATAGTACTGAATTAATGTGTGTTGTTCCTGCGCATACACAATCTGTCATAGGCACTGGGGTTAGTATTGTCAGCTTGACAGATTCTGGGATCACCTAGGAGACATGTCGCGTCTGCTGCGCGGCCTGTGTCCGAGAACGTGCGGAGGGTGTCGGGGATTGACAACACAGAGACTCGTTCAACGATGTAAAGAAAACTTTAAGCAGGCTCCAAAAAGGTTCAAGAAAACTTCCTAAGAAAGGCTCCCACCAGAGAAGCTTCTGCCTCTACCCTGGCTGGTTCTGCTCTGACCCCAGAAACTGATCTGGGCGTGGCAGAAGAGGCGGTTAGTCTCTGGACAAGGTCGAGCTCAGGGTGGTTTCTGCGGGCAGGCCTTTTCCAGGAACTTAATGCCCCCAGGCATTGTATTGTTTTTAGTAAACATGTCTTACAGCTGCCTACTCCCAGGCAGAAGGGGAAGTGGGTCTCTGCTCAAGGTCTGGTGTTCCCACAGAGACAGGCCTCCAAACACAACTATGAGGGATTATTTAAATTGGTTAGTCTTTGACCAGGTCTGTAAGAAATTATCTTTAATTATCTTTATTGACATGTGAAAATACAGCCTAAATGAGGGCATCAGCATCCTTTACATTGGACCCAACTTGGGTCCTAGACGGCATAAAAAGGAAGCTAGAGCATGAACATTGAATGTTCTGTACCTCTCAACTGCATATGCACTGTGACCAGCTGCTTCATATGCCTGCAAGGATGTCCCTGCCATGGTGAGCCATACCCTTGGGAACTACGAGGCACAATAAGCTCAAAATATTTTATCACAGCAACAGAAAACGTAACTGGGAAAGACACAGTACAGGATTTTCAATAGGTGTGCAGTATTTGTCCATGGAGGATATTGGAAATTATCCTCTATCGCTGTCTTATATTTTAAATAGGGGCTCTAAACCTGAAGCTCATTGGTTTGGCTGCACTGGCTGGTCAGCAAATTCCAGGGACCCACCTGTTTCCATTTCAAATTCAGGTTACAGGCATATGCAGTCAAACCCAGCTTCTATTTAAATGCTGGATATTTGTGTGGCAGAGCAGGTCTAATGGATCATGTGAAAACCTAGAGATTTAAATGAAAGACAAGATGTCTGGCCGTTTTTGCTAACAGAGAGAGAGAGAGAGAGAGAGAGAGAGAGAGAGAGTTTTGCAAGGAGGGGGCAGCCTTATACAGACTTGCAGGTGGAAAAAAATCCAGGTGCAAGAGCTCCTGTTTTCATGATTAGTTGATGCCAGTGCTGTAAGCCAAGACTACAAAACAGGATGCACCTGTGGTTATTGGCTGACAAGCAACTCACAGAGACCATGTGTGGGGTGGGGCTCAACATACTTGAACTCAGGTCCTCTTGCATTCACAGCCAGTAATTTCACCCAATGAACCATCTCCTAGGCCCCCTTTTGGTTTTGGTTTGATTTTCAAGGTCTGAAAAGTTGCATTACTATGTCTGCATGGGTATGTCATGCATGCATGCCACTGCACACGTAGAGGGTCAATGAGCAACTTCATGCCGGCAGTTCTTTCCTTCCATTTTTGTGAGGCCCCAGGGACTGAACTCAAGTCACCAGGCTGGTAAATTCAATTACGTTAAAGCTTTTAAATCTTATTTATTGTAAGAAACCAAAAAAAATTGAAGACAACACATATGGGAGACATGATTTGTTACACAGGGAACTAAGAACCACAGGACGATGAGAAAGAGACTCCTGCAACAATTCACACGATACAAAGTACTCAAAAGAGTCAGTGAGCACCAGCTGTCGCTGGTGGAAGCCGCTTGAATGGAGAGGACAGTCATCCTCTGTCCCACAGCCATTTGTCTGCCTGAGGTACCATTGCTTTTGTAGAAACACATATAAAACAAAAATAAATAAAAAATAAATTACATGCTTAGCCACATATGATAAAGTACCTGAAGTAGCGATGATGCAGAATTTAATTTTCATTTCCTACACTGGGACGCAGGACCAGGCACTGCTTCCATGTATGTTTCTTGTATTTGAACAAAGCCTAAACCAGCCATTTCCAATATGATCTCTCACCACCTTCTGCAGACTTAAACCACCTGAGGAGTGATACTTCACTAAGTACTTCATGCATTTATTTGGGGAAACAGATACTTGTTTTCCCTTTCCAAAATAGCAAGGCTTTCATTTTTATTTTTAGTGTTTAGCTTTTATTATAATCTTTATATTTGAGTGAATTATGAAAAACTGAGAGCTAAATAATTATCTTCATTTTAGTCACTGCTGTGAACTTTTTGACTCAGAATCACATCTTGGGGGTTTTGTTTTGTATTCAAAGAGGACATCAGCCACATGACAGACAAGCAGCCATATGGTGTATGTGTGTCGAGCGGTTGGAGGAACTTCAAGAGAGAGAGTTAGGAAGCAGAGATACCAGGAAAAGCCCCCTTAGGTTCTGAGCAGCATGCCAGAGAACAAAATCCAAAGCATTGTAGCTTTCTGATTCAGGATGCATGAGCAGACCCAGGCCAAACCTTGTGGTTACTCATAGGGACTCCTGCTGGTTCTTTGTTTTTGTTTTTGAGACAAGATCTTCTGTAGCCCAGGTTGGCCTTTCCTTCATGGCAACATTCATACCTCAGTTTCTCAAAAGCCAGGATTATAAGTGCCAACACACTTAACATATCATGGGATCATATCAGTTTAATTTTCTGGTTTTTTTTCTTCTTTTCAAAAATATTTATTTTTCATGGGTATTTGTGTGTGTGCAACATGTGCAAGCAAAATGGTGCAGGGGTTGGACTATGTTCCCTGGAACTGGAGTTACAGTTATGACCTGCCATTTGGTGCTGAGAACAAAACCCAGGTTCTCTGAAACAGCAACAAGTGATCTTAAACACCGAGCCATCTCTCCAAGCCCCTTTGTACTTTAAGTAGATTCCATGTGGCCCAGGCGATCCTTGAACTAGAGATACAGCCAAGGGTCACCCTGAGCTAGGGTTCTTCTGCCTCCTCTACTCCTGTACAGGCATACACCACCATAATGGACTGAAGTGCCTTAACCCAATCTCATTTCAAAATACAGTTTCAGACTGGGATGATGGCTCAGTCAGTACAGTACTTGTTGTAAGCAAGAGGACCTGAGTTCAGATCCCCAGCAACAATGTAAAAGCTGTATAGGTGATGCTCACCTATGATCCCAGGACTGGGGAAGCAGAGACAGGTGGATCCTGGGAGCTCACTGGCTGATCAGCCTGGACAGCTCCCTGAGCTCTGGGTTCAGGGGCAGACTTTGTCTCAAAAAAAGTGTGATGGAGGAAGACATTTGCTTCAACCTCTGCCCTAACCACGCACCCACAAGAACACATTATAACAGATACACAAATGCAAATTTCAAAACTTATCAAAAATTGGAAATCCATTGTTTCTTTCATATTCAATTCTCGTTGACAGAAATTCTTTACTGTTTTGGTCAATTAGCTCTTGAGAGAACAGATTAAACTTTGGAATAAAGTAATGCATCAGTGTCTCTGTCCTGAGGCACTCAGCAAAAAATGTCAAAAAGTCATCAAAGCAGGTGCTTAGGTGCTTGGGGTCCCACTGACTGTCCTGTGGCTTCTCAGTCCACATGTGGAAGATTGCAGTTTTCACGTGGTAAGAACAGAATGCATCTAGTTCTTCATACTCTTTTTTCAACTGCTCTAAGAGGTATTTCATTAATTTTAAACAATCTTTCCTGTTAAAAGAAAACATAATAATTTTTACTTATTTACAACCTGCCTCTTTTGAGACAGGGTCTCTCTTTGTAACCCTGGATTTCCTGAAACACATGGAGGTCCGTGTGCCTCCCAAATACAAGTGCTAGAATTGAAGATGTGCACCACCTTATCTGTCCTTTTTTTCTTGTAAACATATTTTCTTCTGTATTTCAAGTTTTTTAAGGCAGGGTCTCATGTAGTTCAGGGTGGCCTAAAAGTTGTCATGTAGCAGAGGCTGGCCTTCAGCTCCTAATTTTCTTGCCCATCCAAGGGCTGGGGTTAGTCTGTACTAACATCCTAGGCTCAACTCACTTCTTTTTTGTTGTTGTTGTTGTTTATTTTCGTTTTTTCAAGACAGGGTTTCTCTGTAGCTTTGGAGCCTGTCCTGGAACTCATTTTTAGACAAGGCTGGCTTGGAACTCACAGAGATCCACCTGTCTCTTACTCCTGAGTGCTGGGATTAAAGGCGTGGCCACCATCATCCAGTTGAGTTTCACTTCTCTCTCTCATTTTTTTAATAAATCTTTTTGTTTTATTTTATTTATTTATATCTTATGTATGAGTACTCTGCATGTATGCCTGCAGGCCAGAAGAGGGAATCAGATCCTATTACACATGGCAGTGAGCTACCATGTGGGTACTGGGAATTGAACTCAGGACCTCTGGAAGAGCAACCAGGACTCTTAACCATTGAGCCATCTCTCCAGTCCTCAGTCTCACTTTTTTTAAAGATTTATTTATTTATTACATATACAGTGTTCTGTCTACACTCCAGAAGAGGGCACCAGATTGAATTGTAGATGGTTGTGAGCCACCATGTGGTTGCAGAGAATTGAACTCAGGACCTCTGGAAGAGCAGTCAGTGCTCTTAACCTCTGAGCCATCTCTCCAGGCCCCAGTCTCACTTCTTGATGATATATAGTCTAACTAACAGCAACAAAACTACTCCATTCCAAAGCAGCCTCCACTATCCACTATTATTGTATGACAATAATAAACTCAATCATCCAGGTGTAGTATATATGCCTATAACCCCAGCACTTGGGAGGCTGAGGCAGCAAGATCACAGTGAGTTCAAGATCAACAATGGCTACAGAGTGAGTTCCAGGTCAGCCTGGGCTATATAGGGAGTTCCCAGGCCAAAACAGTGCAATGAATATTGTGTTTATATGTGATATGCATATACATGACCTCCGCTGCTTCCTTCCCTGCTCTTCTCTTCTCCCCTTGGTCTCTGCCCAAAATCATCCCAGCATCGCCCTTCTCCCAGCCCAGCCATAGTAATTCTCACATCTGGGCTGTAACACCAAGAAAGCATTAAATGCTAATGTCATACATAATTTGCCAATTAACAAAATGACATTACCTGCAACATTTGACTCCAGCAGATTCACAACATGTTTTCTCTATCCCATGATTATTCAAAATGTATTTTTCAGTGTGAGAGAATGAGAGGCGCCATGTCTTGCCTTAATTTCAGAAAGAAAAACAGCTTTTTACCAAAAGCAGTCATACATACATAATACAATTTTTTCAGTTAAGATCCTACACTAAAATATCATCCTGAGGAAATTTAAGAGGAATACTGACCAAAAGAACTGAACAATTCTCGGGAGGCAGAGGCAGGCGGATCTCTGTGAGTTCGAGGCCAGCCTGGTCAAAAGAGCAAGTTCCAGGACAGCCTCCAAAACAATACAGAGAAACCCTGTCTCAAAAACAAAAAGAAAAGGGAACAATTACACAAAGTAATTATTAAAATAAATATTACACAGCAAAAGTGGATCTAAATGGAGAAATACAGAGTCAGAACTTAAGGTTCTTAGCCAAGATCATTAATATTTTCTCTGATGCTTTAACTTCTTCATAAACTTTCAAAAAGCTTTGATTTGACCAGATAAGCTGCTAAAAAGGCTTAAAGAGGCCGTGAAACTAGCACAAGATCTCAGAGCTAGTCAGGGGAAAGCCTTGAGATTCAGAACCACAACCTTGTGAGTCCAAGGCAGTACAGTCTTCACTTAAAGGGAAACAATGTAGATGAAGGGACCTGTAGCCACTAGAAAATGAAGTAATTATAGTTGCTGTGGCTTGGGAATTATTTTGAGACTGGGTCTCATGTAGCCCAGCTTGGCCTGCAACTCACTGTGTAGCTGAGATGACCTGAAACTCCTGCTCCTCTTGCTCTGCCTGAGTCTGCCTGTTCTCCTCTTGACAATACTATGATAGCCATGCGTTTCTCAATTCTAGCTAGCCACACTCTTTTGTGGCCTGTTTAGCCTGATGGCTCTGGAAATGCCAGCACACTGACGGATCATTGATCGTTTGCTGCCTTTGCATATAACAGTAATGAGACTTTTACATTCTTCCCATTAATGTTCACATTTAACAAACCTTGAAAACCATTTCCAACTTTTGCATTCTTGGGCACAAGATAAAATGGCTCTCTTCTTAGATTGGTCCTAACTTTGGTGCCAAGCCAGTTTTTGATGGGTAGTCCTTCTTTTGTACTAACAGGCCAGCTGCCTTTTGACTCCAAAGCCAGAATGATATCCACAGATATTTCTTCAGGGTTTCTGATAAGAAGTGTTACAGCAGGACTTCCTGGTTTTTCCTTCTCCACACTCACATCTATACCTGTTTACACATATTAAAGAAAAGAAAGGATTGGTCCATTCTCTCTGGAAATATGGGAAAGGTACAGAATTATAATTTAAAACCTATAGCTTAAGCCCTAATTAATATTAGTCCCAATATAGAATTATACCACCATGAGGCATAGTGTTTTTACCATGTAACCAATAGTTACCCATCTGGAGACACTGTCAGGATTCCAAGACCTGTGATGAAGCAATCCTAAAGACTTGTTTTGGGAGTGCTGTAATTAAATTTTCATTTGGAATTTTTAAGGGTACTTAGGAGAGAAGCCAGCAAAAGAAGTCACAGAGCAGCAGGGAAGGGAGTAGGAGAACAGACCACAGCTACAGTCTAGCAGAGAGGCATCAAGTATCAAGAAACAGTAGAAGTAAAAGCTATTACAGAGTTCAAATTCAGGTTCAGTGGTAGTGCTTGCCCAATATGCACAAGATCTTGAGTTCAGCCCCATTGTCCACCAGAAAATGTTTTCAAGCACAGCTTGGGCTGTCATGATACCCCATCTCTAAATAAACATGTAGTCTCCAATCACCAGGAAGTTAGTCTGTGAGGGAAGGAGGGAAGACAGATGCCTTTGATGTGATTCTAGGAGTCTGTCCTATAAAATGATTGACACTTCTATTTCCCAAAACAAAACAAGCAGGAGAAAGAAAGACTGACCAAAATTAAGTTCACCATAAGTTTGCTCAGTGTGTTGGTGTAGGGTTTTAATATTAGCAGTATTCAAGGGACAAAGCTGGCCTGGTCTACATAGTCATCAGGCACTACATAGGTCAGCCGGGATTACATAGTGAGATCCTGTTTGGATGGATGGATGGATGCATGGATGGATGGATGCATGGATGGATGCATGGATGGACAGAGGGACACATAGCAGGAACAGATGTCCATGTGGAGGCAGTAGTGTGGTCAGTTCAGGGGGCTTTGGGAGGTGGCAGTAGACTGCGCTGAGGAGAGACTTCTGGGAGAGCCCACAGAGCAGGAGAGTGAAAGAGAAGCTGTGGAGAGAGGGGGAGAGATACACACATGGGGGTGAGGGAGGGAGAGGCCCTCAGAGATGAGGAGAGGAATGTACATGAGTAAGGAAGGCAGCATCTGGTCTGCAAGAATGAAAACCAAAGTCTCACCTTTGATTTCTTTAACTTCTTCTTTAATGATCTCCCTAAACTTTGACAGCATCTTGGAAGCTGATAATATTTCATCTACTAAAAAATGAGCCAGTGGATTTCCTCTTGGAATTCTTCCCAGCTTCACAAGATAAAAAGCACCAGTGTCACGATATTCTTGTAGCTGAATTCTGGGGACTTCCAGTTTAAACATAACATCAAATTCATTAGGAGCAGAAATCTAAGGAATAGGAAAATAACATGGAAACATTTTCTTGTAAAATCTTTCCAAACAATTGCATTTTTTCTGTGAAAGATTCATTGGAGACTCCACATTGAAAAGCAAGATCCATGGCCAGGTGGTGGTGGTGGTGTACAACTTTAATCCCAGCACTGGGGAGGCAGAGACAGGGAATCTCTGTGGGTTCAAGGCGAACGTGGTCTACAGTGAATTCCAGGACAGCCAGGGCTACACCCTGTCTAAAAATGAAAGAAAGGAAGGAAGTGATGGGGAAGTCCTTCTGTGTAGATGTTGTCTTATGGGTTAACTAAATAAAGCACTGATGGCCAATAGGGAAGCAAGGTAGGTGGGACTAGGAGTCAAGGAAGATGCTGGGAAAAAGAGGCACAGTTAGTCACGATATAGGATGCTGGAGAAGTAACATGTTCGGACCCTTCTGTAGGGGAAAGCTCATATTCCCAAGATACTGTCCATGCCCCTGGAACAGGTGAGGATAAAAGGGGAAGAGAATGCAAATCTCTCTATCTTGGATGCTAGCCACATATCCGAGGGTCCTCATCTTCCCAGCTTCTCGTATAAGTGTTAATAAATATCCTTGTTTTCCTCCTTGCATTGATTCCTTTTTACTCTTTGTCTGTAAGAGAAGACCACATGGGAATACTCAGATTAGCAGTTATGAGTTAATAATTAAGTCAGAGATAGCCAATGAGAAACCAAGCAAACGGCCAACAGCTTCATAATTAATATAGTGTCTTGTGCATTATTTGGAGGCTAAAACTGTGGCAGGGCCCAGGCAGCTGGCAGGGAGGGAGGGACAGAAGGAGGGAGGGAGGAAGGAAGGAAGGAAAGAAGGAAGGAAGGAAGAATAGATAAATACACCCATCCCAGATGAGCTTGGTGTTACATACTTTTAATCCTACCACTCTGGAGGCAGAGGCAGGTGGATGTCTGTGAGTTCCAGGACAGCCAGGATTACATAGAGAGACCCTGTCTCAAAAAAAAATAAAAATAAAAAAAAAGAAAAGAAAGAAAAGCAAGATCCCCAATATGTATCCCCTCTCAGAACAGAACCACCGCACCTGAGAATAGTTTCTGTTACTATACACCACTTTATTGGTTTTAGTTTTTAGATATCTCATTTTTTTCTTTTTTAAGCACAAGCAATTATGTTTGTTTTTAAACAGGGTCTTACTCTGTAGCCCAGGCTAGGCTTGAACTCAAGGTCAGTTTCCAGCATCCACATCAAACAGCTCACAGCCACCTGAAACTACAGTACCAAGTGACATGACACCCTCTTCTGGCCTGTGTGGGTTCCTGTATACAGCATACATATAAACTCACATGTATACATAAATGACATATTGGTAAATTTTTAAAATAAAAGCCTTTTCACAAAAAGAACTCTAGTCTTGGACTGCTTCTCTAGCAAACTGTTACAACCTGAAAACATAGCAAAACACAAACCCCATAAAACTCACATATCAATATCCTAGGAATGGGGTTAATTCCAACATTCCAGAGGCAGAAACAGGTAGATCTTACTCATTTGGCTTCTTTTTCTTGCCTTGTTGTAGTGGCTGTATGCATTAATTTGTTTTTTTAATCCATTCATGTTGCAAGTTGCTATGGGTTTTTTTTTTCTTTTTCCTTTTTGTTGGTTTTTGTTTTGTTTTTGTTTTGAGACAGGGTATCTACAGAGCCTTGGCTGTCCTGGAACTCTCTATGTAGACCAAGCTGACCTTGAAGTCACAGAAACCCACCTGCCTCTGCCTCCCTGCTGGGAGGAGTAGTTGCCATAGTATTTGGATAAAACTACTACAATTGATTCACTTCTTACAATCTTTGATTCACTTCTTACAATCTTCAGTTGTGTTGTACTGGACTGATCTCTGAGCCACACTGCCACTATCTGCAGGAATTCAGCTGGGCCTGCTCTCCCAAGAGCATCAGAGCTAGGCTTGTTGACTATAGATGTTTGCTCACAGAAGAAGGTGCGAGAAGGTCACAGGACCCTCACCTGAGTATCCAACCACCTCACCAACCAGTTGGAAACAATTCTGCCCTAACTGCAAGTGGTCGCCGGGTCTCCGGAATGGGCTGGACTCAGTGTAGAGGAGAGAGCTGGGGAAGGACCGAGAAAGGGGCTCCACCCACTCAGCCACAGCAGAGTCACCCTGCATACTGGGTGCAGACCTCCCACTGCGATTGCTTGAAAGTCACATGTACTCTCCCCCATAAGTCCTCGGGAGGAAGGCCAGATCCTCCAAAGCAGTGGTAAGAGAAACTAGCTATCAAGATTGGTCTCTATGCTAACTGAATGAATTTTTTAAAAAGGTTGTCACAAGCCACAGAGAGAAAGAGACAGAGACAGAGAGTGCAAGTGTGGGTAGTTCCAGAAGGGAAGTGGGGGAGCCCAAAGCTGTAAGCCCAAAGATGTAGACAGTTGAGAAGTGGGCCGCGAGCCCCTCCAGCAAGCGGGTCTTGGCCGCTCACCTTCACATGCTCATAGTAGCTGCCAGTGTTGAGTTGCTGCACGCCTTTGAACTCAGACTCACGGTTCCGCAGTCTTGACAGCAGGTGCTTCACGACCCCATTCACCACCTCGGCCGCCACCGAGATCTCCTCGCGTTTCAACCTCAATTTTTCCAGCACCTTCTTGAGCTTTCTGTCCGGAGTCTCGTTCTGCTCCTTCCTGGACCCTCGAGGCGCTCTAGGCTGCCTCACAGAGCGCGCGCCCCTCCTGCGGCTAGGACCTCTGGCGACGGCAGGAGCCTCGGGGTCTGCGGGAGGCTGGGCCTCCGGGACTGCTGGCGGCTGGGGCTCCGGAACAGCGGGCTGAACAGTGGGGGGCTCAGCGTCTCCCGCCGCGCCGGTGGCCGAGGGCTGAAGGTCCTTGGTGCGCACGGACACCCTTCCTGCACGCGCCGGGGGCACTCGGGCGCGCAGCTTCTCCGTGGGGTCCCCTTCAGGCTCCGCACGCCGCGATCGCGCCCCCCTTTGCGGGCCGTAGCTTCCCGCGTGGGACAGGGCGGCCACGGTCCGGCTGGGCTCCGTCGTGGCTCGCTTCTCAGCCGGCTTCTTAGCGCGCGATGCCGTCGGCCTTCGGCACTGACCTTCCATAACCGCGTCTCTCTGCTCCGGTAAGGAAGAATCGACTTCGGGGAAAGACCGCGGGAAAGGGAACTCTCGGTAACCTCTGGAAACGAAACTTAAATATCTGGCGGGAACGCAGCCTGTCTGTGACGCCGCGGGCAGGCGCAGGAGCCCACGTGAGCTCGCACGTCGCCGCCAGGAAGAGGCGGTCCAAGACTCAAGAACTTTCTCGGCCACTCGTGGGGATCAGCTGAGCCGGTGGCTGGGAAAGCACCCATCCATCCTTTATCGCAAAGACACCGAAAACAATGACAGCAGCCGAAATGGCCAGATTGGTTGACCTTACCACCAAGATTTATTTGAGGACATCGTCGCTCATACATTTGAAGTTGATAAAAAGGTTTTCTGTGTAGCCTTTAAATAGGAATTTGGTTGGTTGTTGACGTGTTGGACCTTGCTGTGCCTGCTTTGTCCCCTAGGCTGATCTTGACCTCTTGATTAGTTTGCCCCGGGTCACGATTGCTGGAGGTACCTACCATGCCTGTTTTGGTGGGGGTGTCAATGATGCAAGGAATCAAAGCCAGGACTTCCCATGTGACAGACAAGCACTCAGTCCTAAACTGCATCCCCAGCCCTCTTCTTCATCATCATCGTAAATTTGATGGAAATATGGCCACAGTGTCTGCGATGGTAGACACTGGTTCTCCTGCGATCTGTTTTCTGACCAAACCTGTTCAATCTGTATCCATCCCTGCACTGAAGAGCTCAGTTGTACTTGTTTCAGGGCCCCTTTGCTGGAGTCTTCATAGGGGCTGGATACCTTGTGGGACACAGATTTCCAATAAAACACGTTTTCAGTTGACGTTTCCCACAAACAAATTAAGTCCCAGGTAAGTCATTGCAGCAAAGCTAGCACGTTCTCCCACCCCCCCCCTTTCTTCCTAATTTCAGATAGACCGCTGTTACTGTAAATCTTAGAAATGTTTGGATATTAGTTTTCCTTATTCAGACCATATCACTTAAATTTTTTTATGTGTATGGAAGTTTAGACTGCGTATGTCTGTATATCCCATGTTTGCAGTGCACATGGAGGTCAAAAGAGGGTCAGATCCCTTGAGATTGGAGTTACACCTAGGGCTGGAGTAACATAATATTGTGGGTGGTAAGAATTGAACCGAGGTGCCCGGCATTGGTGGCACACGCCTTTAGTCCCAGCACTCAGGAGGCAGAAGCAGGCGGATCTCTGTGAGTTAGAGGCCAGCCTAGTTTACAGAGTGAGTTCCAGGACAGCCTCCAAAGCTACAGAGAAACCGTCTCAAAAAACCAGAGAGGGGGGTGGGGAGAGAGAGAGAGGGAGAGAGAGAGGGAGACAGAGACAGAGAGACAGAATTGAACGGGGTCCTCTGGAAGAGCAGCCAGTACTAACCACCAAGCCATCCTTCCAGCCTACCTTTCTCTTTGGCGTACCCAAATTGCTAGTATCGATTGTATCACATTCAAGAGTCATTATTAAATAACAAAGGTGTTTTATTAACAACACAAGGACTGCAACCATACAATAATTTGACAACTAAGAGTGCAATTGTGGCCAGGCAGTAGTGGTGCATACCTTTAGTCCCAGCACTCAGGAGACAGAGGCAGGTGGATCTCTGTGAACTCAAGGCCAACATGGATTACAAAGCAAGTTCCAGGACAACCAGGACTCTTACACAGACTCTATCTCAAAATCACCACACACACACCCAAAAAAATTTTTTTAACTGCAACTTTAGGAGCTGGAGAAGTGGCTCAGTGGTTTAGGGCCCTTGTCTCTCTTGCAGAGGATTCAGGTTCAGTGCCCAGCACTGAAGTGGCAGCTCAACCACCGGAAACTGCAGCTCCAGGGAACTTGATCCCCTCCTGAGACCTCCACAGGCAAGCATGTCATGTGCATACATAAAGATAAAACATTAATACACAAAAAATCTAAACAAAAAACTTTAAGGGTGCTATTGTGTAAGCAATGGCTAGGTAGCATATACAGCATGGACAAAGAAATGATTCATGCCCTAGTAAGGACTGGCCGGACACTGTGGGTACAGTATCATGGTACAAGATTCCAACATGCGGCCGGGCGGTGGTGGAGCACACCTTTAATCCAAGCACTCCGGAGGCAGAGGCAGGCAGATCTCTGTGAGTTCGAGGCCTGGCTGGACCGATAGCCTCCAAAACAATACAGAGAAACCCTGTCTCGTAAAATCCAAAAAGAAAAAAGATTCCAACATGCCACTCTGAGTAACATACAGCTTCAAACTTACATTTTTATTTCCAAAGTTTCCCACTTCATGTTTTTGGACCTCAGTTGACTGTAGCAGAAATCTTAAAACTGCAGGTAAGTGTTCTTATTGTATACAATCATACAGAGTGGAGTGTAGGGACAGTGACCTGCTTCCCTGAGAGTGACAACTGTACAGTCCTGACACTGGATATAGCTTGATACCATTTTGTCTTCTTATAAAACCTGCACCAATGCCAGGCGTTGGTGGCCCACGCCTTTAATCTTAGCTCTCGGGAGGCAGAGCCAGGTGTATCTCTGTGGGTTAGAGACCAGCCTGGTCTACAAGAGCTAGTTCCAGGTCAGCCTCCAAAGCAATACAGAGAGACCCTGTCTCAGAAAACCAAAAAAAAAAAAAAAAAAAAAACCTGCACCGAAGTAATGGGATGATGGGGAAACAGTCAGAGCTCCAATAACCACAAAAATCAATCTTCCTTTAACCCCAGATCTCCGAGGACTCAGCTCTCTGAGTTCAAGGCCATCTTGGTCTCCAAAGTGAGTTCCAGAACATCTAGGACTATAAAGAGAAACCCTATTTCAAAAAATGGGGGGGGGACACTTTTTAAAGTGGTACACTGCCTGACCAGCATGTAGAGGATCCTAGGTTCTATCCCTTTTTGTGGCTGGAAACAAACAAAAACTACAACCAGCACATTGAAGGTGAACTGGAAATACTTTGGGGCTGAGAGGATGACTTTATAGTCAAGAGTACTTGCTGGGAATGCAAGGATGGCTCAGTGATTAAGAACACTAGTGTTCTTACACAGGACCCAGGCTCACCATTGACCTGTAGACTACAAATGGACAAGCTGTGTTCCTTAAAGTGCTTTAAAAGCTATCAGAACAGTAAGAAACTGGTTTGCCAAGATCTCAACATGAGTTGAACTCAAAAGAGCAATACAAACCTGTAGGGGTGAGCCCATTGACCTGCCTCTTCACAAACCCAGCCTGGTAGTATGAGGATGTAATCCCAGGTCTGCGAGGCTGGGGCAAGAGGCTCTGAACTTCAGGCCTGAAATTGTCTTTTTATCTGATTTAGGTGCTGGGACCTAAATCCAGAGCTTTGTGTACCTTTCTTTTTTTTCTGGGAGAGGGTGACCTTAACACATTTGAAGATGTTAAGTAGACTTTTTTTTTTGGTCTGACATTCTATTTGTTAATTGTCCTCAAACGTTTCCTCCCACGTTGACAGTTTTTCAAACCTACTGCTTGTTAAGTACTAAGACTGATACATTTAAAACTTTTTTTTTTTTTTGGTTTTTCCAGACAGGGTTTCTCTGTGTAGCTTGGGAGCCTGTCCCGGCACTGGTTCTGTATACCAAGCTGGCCTCGAATTCACAGATATCTGCCTGCCTCTGCCAACTGAGTGCTGGGATTAAAGGCATGTGCCACCAATGCCCAACCTTAAATCTTATTTATTGTAAAATACCAAAAATTGAAGACAACACATATGGGAGACATGATTTGTTACACAGGGAACTAAGAACCACAGGACGATGAGAAAGAGACTCCTGCAACAATTCACACGATACAAAGTACTCAAAAGAGTCAGTGAGCACCAGCTGTCGCTGGTGGAAGCCGCTTGAATGGAGAGGACAGTCATCCTCTGTCCCACAGCCATTTGTCTGCCTGAGGTACCATTGCTTTTGTAGAAACACATATAAAACAAAAATAAATAAAAAATAAATTACATGCTTAGCCACATATGATAAAGTACCTGAAGTAGCGATGATGCAGAATTTAATTTTCATTTCCTACACTGGGACGCAGGACCAGGCACTGCTTCCATGTATGTTTCTTGTATTTGAACAAAGCCTAAACCAGCCATTTCCAATATGATCTCTCACCACCTTCTGCAGACTTAAACCACCTGAGGAGTGATACTTCACTAAGTACTTCATGCATTTATTTGGGGAAACAGATACTTGTTTTCCCTTTCCAAAATGGCAAGGCTTTCATTTTTATTTTTAGTGTTTAGCTTTTATTATAATCTTTATATTTGAGTGAATTATGAAAAACTGAGAGCTAAATAATTATCTTCATTTTAGTCACTGCTGTGAACTTTTTGACTCAGAATCACATCTTGGGGGTTTTGTTTTGTATTCAAAGAGGACATCAGCCACATGACAGACAAGCAGCCATATGGTGTATGTGTGTCGAGCGGTTGGAGGAACTTCAAGAGAGAGAGTTAGGAAGCAGAGATACCAGGAAAAGCCCCCTTAGGTTCTGAGCAGCATGCCAGAGAACAAAATCCAAAGCATTGTAGCTTTCTGATTCAGGATGCATGAGCAGACCCAGGCCAAACCTTGTGGTTACTCATAGGGACTCCTGCTGGTTCTTTGTTTTTGTTTTTGAGACAAGATCTTCTGTAGCCCAGGTTGGCCTTTCCTTCATGGCAACATTCATACCTCAGTTTCTCAAAAGCCAGGATTATAAGTGCCAACACACTTAACATATCATGGGATCATATCAGTTTAATTTTCTGGTTTTTTTTCTTCTTTTCAAAAATATTTATTTTTCATGGGTATTTGTGTGTGTGCAACATGTGCAAGCAAAATGGTGCAGGGGTTGGACTATGTTCCCTGGAACTGGAGTTACAGTTATGACCTGCCATTTGGTGCTGAGAACAAAACCCAGGTTCTCTGAAACAGCAACAAGTGATCTTAAACACCGAGCCATCTCTCCAAGCCCCTTTGTACTTTAAGTAGATTCCATGTGGCCCAGGCGATCCTTGAACTAGAGATACAGCCAAGGGTCACCCTGAGCTAGGGTTCTTCTGCCTCCTCTACTCCTGTACAGGCATACACCACCATAATGGACTGAAGTGCCTTAACCCAATCTCATTTCAAAATACAGTTTCAGACTGGGATGATGGCTCAGTCAGTACAGTACTTGTTGTAAGCAAGAGGACCTGAGTTCAGATCCCCAGCAACAATGTAAAAGCTGTATAGGTGATGCTCACCTATGATCCCAGGACTGGGGAAGCAGAGACAGGTGGATCCTGGGAGCTCACTGGCTGATCAGCCTGGACAGCTCCCTGAGCTCTGGGTTCAGGGGCAGACTTTGTCTCAAAAAAAAGTGTGATGGAGGAAGACATTTGCTTCAACCTCTGCCCTAACCACGCACCCACAAGAACACATTATAACAGATACACAAATGCAAATTTCAAAACTTATCAAAAATTGGAAATCCATTGTTTCTTTCATATTCAATTCTCGTTGACAGAAATTCTTTACTGTTTTGGTCAATTAGCTCTTGAGAGAACAGATTAAACTTTGGAATAAAGTAATGCATCAGTGTCTCTGTCCTGAGGCACTCAGCAAAAAATGTCAAAAAGTCATCAAAGCAGGTGCTTAGGTGCTTGGGGTCCCACTGACTGTCCTGTGGCTTCTCAGTCCACATGTGGAAGATTGCAGTTTTCACGTGGTAAGAACAGAATGCATCTAGTTCTTCATACTCTTTTTTCAACTGCTCTAAGAGGTATTTCATTAATTTTAAACAATCTTTCCTGTTAAAAGAAAACATAATAATTTTTACTTATTTACAACCTGCCTCTTTTGAGACAGGGTCTCTCTTTGTAACCCTGGATTTCCTGAAACACATGGAGGTCCGTGTGCCTCCCAAATACAAGTGCTAGAATTGAAGATGTGCACCACCTTATCTGTCCTTTTTTTCTTGTAAACATATTTTCTTCTGTATTTCAAGTTTTTTAAGGCAGGGTCTCATGTAGTTCAGGGTGGCCTAAAAGTTGTCATGTAGCAGAGGCTGGCCTTCAGCTCCTAATTTTCTTGCCCATCCAAGGGCTGGGGTTAGTCTGTACTAACATCCTAGGCTCAACTCACTTCTTTTTTGTTGTTGTTGTTGTTTATTTTCGTTTTTTCAAGACAGGGTTTCTCTGTAGCTTTGGAGCCTGTCCTGGAACTCATTTTTAGACAAGGCTGGCTTGGAACTCACAGAGATCCACCTGTCTCTTACTCCTGAGTGCTGGGATTAAAGGCGTGGCCACCATCATCCAGTTGAGTTTCACTTCTCTCTCTCATTTTTTTAATAAATCTTTTTGTTTTATTTTATTTATTTATATCTTATGTATGAGTACTCTGCATGTATGCCTGCAGGCCAGAAGAGGGAATCAGATCCTATTACACATGGCAGTGAGCTACCATGTGGGTACTGGGAATTGAACTCAGGACCTCTGGAAGAGCAACCAGGACTCTTAACCATTGAGCCATCTCTCCAGTCCTCAGTCTCACTTTTTTTTAAAGATTTATTTATTTATTACATATACAGTGTTCTGTCTACACTCCAGAAGAGGGCACCAGATTGAATTGTAGATGGTTGTGAGCCACCATGTGGTTGCAGAGAATTGAACTCAGGACCTCTGGAAGAGCAGTCAGTGCTCTTAACCTCTGAGCCATCTCTCCAGGCCCCAGTCTCACTTCTTGATGATATATAGTCTAACTAACAGCAACAAAACTACTCCATTCCAAAGCAGCCTCCACTATCCACTATTATTGTATGACAATAATAAACTCAATCATCCAGGTGTAGTATATATGCCTATAACCCCAGCACTTGGGAGGCTGAGGCAGCAAGATCACAGTGAGTTCAAGATCAACAATGGCTACAGAGTGAGTTCCAGGTCAGCCTGGGCTATATAGGGAGTTCCCAGGCCAAAACAGTGCAATGAATATTGTGTTTATATGTGATATGCATATACATGACCTCCGCTGCTTCCTTCCCTGCTCTTCTCTTCTCCCCTTGATCTCTGCCCAAAATCATCCCAGCATCGCCCTTCTCCCAGCCCAGCCATAGTAATTCTCACATCTGGGCTGTAACACCAAGAAAGCATTAAATGCTAATGTCATACATAATTTGCCAATTAACAAAATGACATTACCTGCAACATTTGACTCCAGCAGATTCACAACATGTTTTCTCTATCCCATGATTATTCAAAATGTATTTTTCAGTGTGAGAGAATGAGAGGCGCCATGTCTTGCCTTAATTTCAGAAAGAAAAACAGCTTTTTACCAAAAGCAGTCATACATACATAATACAATTTTTTCAGTTAAGATCCTACACTAAAATATCATCCTGAGGAAATTTAAGAGGAATACTGACCAAAAGAACTGAACAATTCTCGGGAGGCAGAGGCAGGCGGATCTCTGTGAGTTCGAGGCCAGCCTGGTCAAAAGAGCAAGTTCCAGGACAGCCTCCAAAACAATACAGAGAAACCCTGTCTCAAAAACAAAAAGAAAAGGGAACAATTACACAAAGTAATTATTAAAATAAATATTACACAGCAAAAGTGGATCTAAATGGAGAAATACAGAGTCAGAACTTAAGGTTCTTAGCCAAGATCATTAATATTTTCTCTGATGCTTTAACTTCTTCATAAACTTTCAAAAAGCTTTGATTTGACCAGATAAGCTGCTAAAAAGGCTTAAAGAGGCCGTGAAACTAGCACAAGATCTCAGAGCTAGTCAGGGGAAAGCCTTGAGATTCAGAACCACAACCTTGTGAGTCCAAGGCAGTACAGTCTTCACTTAAAGGGAAACAATGTAGATGAAGGGACCTGTAGCCACTAGAAAATGAAGTAATTATAGTTGCTGTGGCTTGGGAATTATTTTGAGACTGGGTCTCATGTAGCCCAGCTTGGCCTGCAACTCACTGTGTAGCTGAGATGACCTGAAACTCCTGCTCCTCTTGCTCTGCCTGAGTCTGCCTGTTCTCCTCTTGACAATACTATGATAGCCATGCGTTTCTCAATTCTAGCTAGCCACACTCTTTTGTGGCCTGTTTAGCCTGATGGCTCTGGAAATGCCAGCACACTGACGGATCATTGATCGTTTGCTGCCTTTGCATATAACAGTAATGAGACTTTTACATTCTTCCCATTAATGTTCACATTTAACAAACCTTGAAAACCATTTCCAACTTTTGCATTCTTGGGCACAAGATAAAATGGCTCTCTTCTTAGATTGGTCCTAACTTTGGTGCCAAGCCAGTTTTTGATGGGTAGTCCTTCTTTTGTACTAACAGGCCAGCTGCCTTTTGACTCCAAAGCCAGAATGATATCCACAGATATTTCTTCAGGGTTTCTGATAAGAAGTGTTACAGCAGGACTTCCTGGTTTTTCCTTCTCCACACTCACATCTATACCTGTTTACACATATTAAAGAAAAGAAAGGATTGGTCCATTCTCTCTGGAAATATGGGAAAGGTACAGAATTATAATTTAAAACCTATAGCTTAAGCCCTAATTAATATTAGTCCCAATATAGAATTATACCACCATGAGGCATAGTGTTTTTACCATGTAACCAATAGTTACCCATCTGGAGACACTGTCAGGATTCCAAGACCTGTGATGAAGCAATCCTAAAGACTTGTTTTGGGAGTGCTGTAATTAAATTTTCATTTGGAATTTTTAAGGGTACTTAGGAGAGAAGCCAGCAAAAGAAGTCACAGAGCAGCAGGGAAGGGAGTAGGAGAACAGACCACAGCTACAGTCTAGCAGAGAGGCATCAAGTATCAAGAAACAGTAGAAGTAAAAGCTATTACAGAGTTCAAATTCAGGTTCAGTGGTAGTGCTTGCCCAATATGCACAAGATCTTGAGTTCAGCCCCATTGTCCACCAGAAAATGTTTTCAAGCACAGCTTGGGCTGTCATGATACCCCATCTCTAAATAAACATGTAGTCTCCAATCACCAGGAAGTTAGTCTGTGAGGGAAGGAGGGAAGACAGATGCCTTTGATGTGATTCTAGGAGTCTGTCCTATAAAATGATTGACACTTCTATTTCCCAAAACAAAACAAGCAGGAGAAAGAAAGACTGACCAAAATTAAGTTCACCATAAGTTTGCTCAGTGTGTTGGTGTAGGGTTTTAATATTAGCAGTATTCAAGGGACAAAGCTGGCCTGGTCTACATAGTCATCAGGCACTACATAGGTCAGCCGGGATTACATAGTGAGATCCTGTTTGGATGGATGGATGGATGCATGGATGGATGGATGCATGGATGGATGCATGGATGGACAGAGGGACACATAGCAGGAACAGATGTCCATGTGGAGGCAGTAGTGTGGTCAGTTCAGGGGGCTTTGGGAGGTGGCAGTAGACTGCGCTGAGGAGAGACTTCTGGGAGAGCCCACAGAGCAGGAGAGTGAAAGAGAAGCTGTGGAGAGAGGGGGAGAGATACACACATGGGGGTGAGGGAGGGAGAGGCCCTCAGAGATGAGGAGAGGAATGTACATGAGTAAGGAAGGCAGCATCTGGTCTGCAAGAATGAAAACCAAAGTCTCACCTTTGATTTCTTTAACTTCTTCTTTAATGATCTCCCTAAACTTTGACAGCATCTTGGAAGCTGATAATATTTCATCTACTAAAAAATGAGCCAGTGGATTTCCTCTTGGAATTCTTCCCAGCTTCACAAGATAAAAAGCACCAGTGTCACGATATTCTTGTAGCTGAATTCTGGGGACTTCCAGTTTAAACATAACATCAAATTCATTAGGAGCAGAAATCTAAGGAATAGGAAAATAACATGGAAACATTTTCTTGTAAAATCTTTCCAAACAATTGCATTTTTTCTGTGAAAGATTCATTGGAGACTCCACATTGAAAAGCAAGATCCATGGCCAGGTGGTGGTGGTGGTGTACAACTTTAATCCCAGCACTGGGGAGGCAGAGACAGGGAATCTCTGTGGGTTCAAGGCGAACGTGGTCTACAGTGAATTCCAGGACAGCCAGGGCTACACCCTGTCTAAAAATGAAAGAAAGGAAGGAAGTGATGGGGAAGTCCTTCTGTGTAGATGTTGTCTTATGGGTTAACTAAATAAAGCACTGATGGCCAATAGGGAAGCAAGGTAGGTGGGACTAGGAGTCAAGGAAGATGCTGGGAAAAAGAGGCACAGTTAGTCACGATATAGGATGCTGGAGAAGTAACATGTTCGGACCCTTCTGTAGGGGAAAGCTCATATTCCCAAGATACTGTCCATGCCCCTGGAACAGGTGAGGATAAAAGGGGAAGAGAATGCAAATCTCTCTATCTTGGATGCTAGCCACATATCCGAGGGTCCTCATCTTCCCAGCTTCTCGTATAAGTGTTAATAAATATCCTTGTTTTCCTCCTTGCATTGATTCCTTTTTACTCTTTGTCTGTAAGAGAAGACCACATGGGAATACTCAGATTAGCAGTTATGAGTTAATAATTAAGTCAGAGATAGCCAATGAGAAACCAAGCAAACGGCCAACAGCTTCATAATTAATATAGTGTCTTGTGCATTATTTGGAGGCTAAAACTGTGGCAGGGCCCAGGCAGCTGGCAGGGAGGGAGGGACAGAAGGAGGGAGGGAGGAAGGAAGGAAGGAAAGAAGGAAGGAAGGAAGAATAGATAAATACACCCATCCCAGATGAGCTTGGTGTTACATACTTTTAATCCTACCACTCTGGAGGCAGAGGCAGGTGGATGTCTGTGAGTTCCAGGACAGCCAGGATTACATAGAGAGACCCTGTCTCAAAAAAAAATAAAAATAAAAAAAAAGAAAAGAAAGAAAAGCAAGATCCCCAATATGTATCCCCTCTCAGAACAGAACCACCGCACCTGAGAATAGTTTCTGTTACTATACACCACTTTATTGGTTTTAGTTTTTAGATATCTCATTTTTTTCTTTTTTAAGCACAAGCAATTATGTTTGTTTTTAAACAGGGTCTTACTCTGTAGCCCAGGCTAGGCTTGAACTCAAGGTCAGTTTCCAGCATCCACATCAAACAGCTCACAGCCACCTGAAACTACAGTACCAAGTGACATGACACCCTCTTCTGGCCTGTGTGGGTTCCTGTATACAGCATACATATAAACTCACATGTATACATAAATGACATATTGGTAAATTTTTAAAATAAAAGCCTTTTCACAAAAAGAACTCTAGTCTTGGACTGCTTCTCTAGCAAACTGTTACAACCTGAAAACATAGCAAAACACAAACCCCATAAAACTCACATATCAATATCCTAGGAATGGGGTTAATTCCAACATTCCAGAGGCAGAAACAGGTAGATCTTACTCATTTGGCTTCTTTTTCTTGCCTTGTTGTAGTGGCTGTATGCATTAATTTGTTTTTTTAATCCATTCATGTTGCAAGTTGCTATGGGTTTTTTTTTTTTCTTTTTCCTTTTTGTTGGTTTTTGTTTTGTTTTTGTTTTGAGACAGGGTATCTACAGAGCCTTGGCTGTCCTGGAACTCTCTATGTAGACCAAGCTGACCTTGAAGTCACAGAAACCCACCTGCCTCTGCCTCCCTGCTGGGAGGAGTAGTTGCCATAGTATTTGGATAAAACTACTACAATTGATTCACTTCTTACAATCTTTGATTCACTTCTTACAATCTTCAGTTGTGTTGTACTGGACTGATCTCTGAGCCACACTGCCACTATCTGCAGGAATTCAGCTGGGCCTGCTCTCCCAAGAGCATCAGAGCTAGGCTTGTTGACTATAGATGTTTGCTCACAGAAGAAGGTGCGAGAAGGTCACAGGACCCTCACCTGAGTATCCAACCACCTCACCAACCAGTTGGAAACAATTCTGCCCTAACTGCAAGTGGTCGCCGGGTCTCCGGAATGGGCTGGACTCAGTGTAGAGGAGAGAGCTGGGGAAGGACCGAGAAAGGGGCTCCACCCACTCAGCCACAGCAGAGTCACCCTGCATACTGGGTGCAGACCTCCCACTGCGATTGCTTGAAAGTCACATGTACTCTCCCCCATAAGTCCTCGGGAGGAAGGCCAGATCCTCCAAAGCAGTGGTAAGAGAAACTAGCTATCAAGATTGGTCTCTATGCTAACTGAATGAATTTTTAAAAAAGGTTGTCACAAGCCACAGAGAGAAAGAGACAGAGACAGAGAGTGCAAGTGTGGGTAGTTCCAGAAGGGAAGTGGGGGAGCCCAAAGCTGTGAGCCCAAAGATGTAGACAGTTGAGAAGTGGGCCCCGAGCCCCTCCAGCAAGCGGGTCTTGGCCGCTCACCTTCACATGCTCATAGTAGCTGCCAGTGTTGAGTTGCTGCACGCCTTTGAACTCAGACTCACGGTTCCGCAGTCTTGACAGCAGGTGCTTCACGACCCCATTCACCTCCTCGGCCGCCACCGAGATCTCCTCGCGTTTCAACCTCAAAATTTCTAGCACCTTCTTGAGCTTTTTGTAGGGGTTTTTGTTCTGCTTCTTCCTGGACCCCCGCGGTGCGCCCTTCTCGCGGCTAAGACGGTTTGGGACGTCAGGAGCCTGGGGGTCTGCGGGCCACTCGGGCTCAAGAAAGGCTGGGGTTTGGGGAAGACAGGCGGCTCCGTGTCAGGGATGGCTGCCAGGTGGGCCTCCGGGAAGGTGAGCAGCTCCGGATAAGGGATGGCCGGCGGCTGGGGCTCTGAGACAGACAGCAGCTCAGGGTCAGGGATGCCTGGCGGCTGGTGCTCCGGGAATGTGAGCAGCTCCGGGTCAGGGATGGCTGTTGGCTGGGAATCCGGGACCGTGTGCAGTTCGGAGTTTGGGATGGCTGGCAGCTGGGGCTCCGGGAAGGCGAGCGGCTCGGGGTCAGGGATGGCTGTTAGCTGGGGTTCCTGGACGTCGGGCAGTTCTGCTTCTCCAGCCGCGCCCGTGGCTAAGTGCTGTAGGACCTTGGTGCATACGAACGCCCTTTCTGGACGCGTTCGGGTGCGCGTCTTCTCTGTGTGGTCCCCATCACGCTCCGCACACCGCGAATGCAGCCCCCTTTGGAAACCACAGCTTCCCGTGTGGGACAGGGCGGCCTCGGTACGGTTGGGCTCCGTCGTGGCTGGCTTTTGAGCGAGTGACGCCGTCTGCCTTCCTCGCTGACCTTCCATAGCTGCGTCTCTCCGCTCCGGGAAGTAAAAATCGACTTTGGAAAATGGGGAGGGGAATTCTCATTAAACGCTGGAAACGAAACTTAAAAATATCTGGCGGGAACTCAGGAGCAGACGCAAGACCACCTAATGTTGTTGCCCCCAGGAAGATCGATGGCCCAGGAAATGTGAAATTCCTCAGTCAGTCGTGGGGACCAACCGAGCCACTGGATTGAAAACCACTCACCCCTCTGTTAGTATTACAGCTCAGACGAAGAGTGATCCAGGCAATAGGCAGCCAAGGGATACCTCAGTCACTGTAAGCGCACCTGTTTCCCTAATGTAACAACTCTGCTCCTCCGGGGAAACCTCAGCTCCACCCAGGCTCTGACTTGGCTCTTGCAGAAAAAAAGAAAGAAAAATAATCGTCAGCCAAGCTTCATTCAAGAAATTTATTGGGAGGGATAAATCCAGGCAAGTGGTTGCCTCTACTAGGGTGGGATAAAGCAGTAGCAAACAGAACAGGCACAAGGTTTTTACATAAACTACCTAGGATGGGAATTGGTCAGATTCCTATCCCCTTGAGATTGGGCAAACTCAGATAAGCTAGAGTTCCTGCTCAGGGATTAGTTGGTTTTCTGCTCAGAGATTGATTGGTTTTGTATTTCTACATGGCCTTATCTTACCAGAGAACTCCTGGTACATCCTAGCCTCCCGGTCTCCACCTCGTAACTGTTTGTTTGGTTGGTTTGGTTTTGGTTTTTAGAGACAGGGTTTCTCTGTATTGTTTCCGAGGCTGTCCTGGAACTAGCTCTTGTAGACCAGGCTGGTCTCGAACTCACAGAGATCGGCCTACCTCTGCCTCCCAAGTGCTGGAATTAAAGGGTGCGCCACAAACCCCTGGCTTTCTGAGGTTTGTTTGTTTGGTTTTTGTTTGTTTGGTTTTCACCTTGTGACTCTTTGCTTCTCTGCCTACCTTTCCCAGAATTCTCCTTGTCTCCCAGACCCGCCTATCTTCCTGCTTCTATCAAACAGTGTTTTATTCATCAACCAATAAGAGAAGCATGTATACAGAAGGACATCTCCATCACACTAGAGCCTATTTCTCTAGAATGCCTTGATTATCTGTTTAAAATCAGCCATTCCTAGATGCAATTTTGAGTTAAGCAAGATGCCTCATTCCAGATTGATCTAAAGGTGAAAGGGAGAACCAGCACATCACACACACACACACACCTAAGTGCACAGCTCAGTGGTAAGTGTTGTGCCCAAGTTTCGAAGATCCCCAGAGACCACCAGGAAGACAGATCCCCCAAACTGCAAAAGCAAGGTTTTATTGATTGTTCATCCAACCACGAAAGGGACCCTGTCTAGCAAGCTGACAGAGCAGCCTCCAGAGGAATGAAGTTCCTGGTCTACTGCTAGGTTTTAAAGACAAAAGTTACAGGATTACATCAGCAGGTACAGGTTGGCTTCTGGTTGGTTGACATTTGGGAACAATTAGGAGAATTTCTCAAAGTCATATTTTGGCATGAAATACCTGTATACCAATTATTTTCATTGGTCAGTGCTGAGAGGAAACATTCTCTGGTTTCTATGACTTTGTCTTGTTACTTGCAGGTGGCCTGTTGTACATAGATACCAATAGTTTTCAGAACAATATCCTGGAGACTACAGGGGAGGTTTTGGTCTCCCCTGGAGTTTCTTTTGTGGCCAAACAATTCCCAGGAACCAAGCATCTAGGAGGCTAGGTGGGAGAGCAGGTGTCTGGAGTTTCTTTGTGTTCAGTTCTGGCCCTAGGCTCCGGGAGGCCAGAGGATCTGTAGTTTCCTTATGTCAGAGGCCTACGTGTCTTTTCTATAACCTGCTTATCTTCCTGCTTCCTGCTAAAGCAGGGGACTGAGTGAGGGTCCTTTGTGTTTAGTTTACCCCTTTCTTTCTTTTTTTTTTTTTTTTTTTTTTTGGTTTTTCGAGACAGGGTTTCTCTGTATTGTTTTGGAGGCTGTCCTGGACCTCGCTCTTGTAGACCAGGCTGACCTTGAACTCACAGAGATCCGCCTGCTTCTGCCTCCCAAGTGCTGGAATTAAAAGCATGCATCACCAACGCCCGGCCTAGTTTACCCCTTTCAGTAAGCACATTTATATTGTTGGGCAACCCTCACCATCACCAGAAGTCTCCTTCTTGCCAAACAAACTTAACCATTCATTCTTTTTTTTAAAGATTTATTTATTTATTACAGATACAGTTTGTCTACATGCCAGAAGAAGGCATGCACCAGATTGAATTGTAGATGGTTGTGAGTCACCATGTGGTTGCTGGGAATTGAACTCAGGACATCTGGAAGAGCAGTCAGTGCTCTTAACCTCTGAGCCATCTCTCCAGCCCCAACCATTCATTCTTTGCACTAGTCTACTTGGCAATCACCACTTTACTTTCTGCCTGTGATTTTGACTTCTTCCTGTAAGTGCTTTAAGTCAGTAGGGTCTTATTGACCTACACCCCCTTTTCTATTTCTAGAGTTTATCTCTAGTAATTGACCCATTCAATAAATAAATATTTGGCTGCACAAGACATTTCAGGCACTGTTCTAAGCTCTTGGAATTTGTTAACAATGATTCTTGTCTTCCTAATGCTTATATTCTCTCAGGTAAAAATAGGCCAAAAGAAAAGCAACATAATGTGTAGGTATATTATCTCATGTGGTATATGATAATCTCTATTGAAGACAGAAAGGAGCCAGACATGGTGGGCATACCTTTATCCCAGCACTCAGGAGGCAGAGGCAGTCAGATCTTTGTGAGTTCCAGGCCAGCCTGGTCTACAAAGTGAGTTACAGGACAGCTAGAGCTACACACAGAAACCCTGTCTCAAAAAAAAAAAAAAGAGAGAGAGAAAGAAAGAGAGAGGGAAAGAAAGAAAACAAGGAAGGAAGGAAGGAAGGAAGGATCCAAGTGTATTTCCCAGCACCACTTCACAACAGTCCTCTCTTGTGGCCTCCAGGATCACTGGGTGTACACATGGTGCCCAGGCAAACAAACAGACATGCCAACAAAACAATGATGATTTTTTTAATGAAAAGGAAAACAGCCAGGTGGTGGTGGTGAAAGCCTTTAATCCCAGCACTTGGGAAGCAGAGGCAGGTGGATCTCTGTAAGTTCAAAGCCAGCCTGATCTACAAGAGCTAGTTCCAGGACAGCCTCCAAAGCCACAGAGAAACCCTGTGTTGAAAAACCAAAAAAAAAAAAAAAAAAAAGAATGAAAAGAGAAAAGGTACTACCAAGGGCAGTATATAGATTTTTTTAAAATGGGACAATTTAAAATGTAAAAGCTAGTTAGTAACAAGTCTGAGCTATTGGCTGAACATTTACAATAAAAAATAAGTCTCTGTGTGATTATTTGGGAACTGGCTGGTGGGACAGAAAAGTCTGCCAACATGAAGTGATATATTTCAAGTGTGGTCATCCACAACTATAATATAAACACTTCAAAGGCTGATGCAGAAGGATCACGAGTTCAAGTCCAGGCTGTTCTACATATCAATTCCAGAGTAAGAGGGCAAGAGCAAGGAGGAGTTGTGGGAGAACAGCTAGTAAATATTTGATGATTCTTGAAAAATATCCCGTTTGTGAAAAAGAGTATTATAAAACAATTTATATGGTAGGATCTTAATTCATCATTCATTGTTAAAACATAAATATTCACTTCTGAGCTGGGCATAGTCTGCAGACTTTTATCCCCACACCTAAGTAACTGAGGCAGGAGATGGAGATTTCAAAGTCAGTTTGAGCTACAGCTGTCTAGGGGGGGAAAAATCTAAGCCAAGCATAGTGGTATAAACCTGAAATGCTGGCACTCAGCAGGCTGAAACAGAAAGATCGTTGTTAAGTTTCAGTTCATCCTGGGATGCAAGGTGAAATATCTCAAAAACACAATAAGAGCCAGGGAGATGGTTCCTTGAGATATCGATGTACCCCGACACGACACCTGTTTTTTTTTTTTTTTGGGTTTTTTTTTTTTTTTGGTTTTTTTTGTTGTTGTTGTTTTTTGTTTTTTGTTTTTCGAGACAGGGTTTCTCTGTGGCTTTGGAGGCTGTCCTGGAACTAGCTCTTGTAGACCAGGCTGGTCTCGAACTCACAGAGATCCGCCAGCCTCTGCCTCCCAAGTGCTGGGATTAAAGTTGTGCACCATCATGCTCAGCTAAACAAATAAGTTGTTATGAGGACTGGCCAGATGCTTCAGCAGGCTAAAGTATCTGCTGCCAAGTCTGGTGACCTGAGTTCAATTCCCAGAAGGCACAGGATGTAAAGACTTGACTCCTTCAAGTTGTCCTCTGATCTCCATATATACACTGTGGCATGAGTAAGTTCACAAGCATACACACATGCAAATGAACTCATGCAATTAAGATTTTAAAAATATGTATAGTTAAGTGGAGAGGAGTAAAGTGAAGGTAGTAAAATCACACAATCCATGTACAAAATAATAGCATTCCAATGTTGGGTGATTTTGTTTTCCCCTGTGGTTCCAGGGCACCAACAACAAGCCAAAGTAAATGACTCCACTCAAATCTAGCTTAGTGAAAGTGAGTTTATTGGAGGTATTTGCAGGCAGATGGGTGACTCAAAGACAGCTGCATCACAGAAAAGCCCACCCCAGCATGGATAACAAACCGCAGAAGTTGCATCCTTGGAATTCACCACAGTGCTTGCATGGCTGATGGTCCTGGACTCTTTCCCCTAGCAATGGTCCCTGTTTATATCACCTGGGGTAGGGTGGACCTGGAAACTTATAAATCTTGCTTCAGCTGAACTGGTAAGTTTTGTTTACTTCTGGAGTTTTTTGAGACTCCCTCTTCCAGGAAGGAATATTTTAATTCAGAGGAAATTGTTGTACATGCATATAAGAATAGTTACTAGTAACAAGAGGCTGCCATTCTTGTGAAGTGGGGATAGAACACTTGGTGGGAGTTACAAGTTCTCTAATTCTCCACGGCTGTGTTTATGTAATGTTTAAATTGTGTATAAATAGGGACTGGAGAGATGGCTCAGTGACCAAGAGTTCTTACAGAGGACCTGTGGTTCCAGCTTTAGTGAAATAGTGGTGGCTCACCACACTCTGCTGCTCCAGTTCCAAGGGGATCTGATGCCCTCTCCTGACTTCTGTGTGCCACGCACACACACACACCTACTGCCCTCTTCTGACTTCTGTGTGCCCCCCACATGCACACTTAGAGCCCTCTCCTGACTTCTGTGTGCCACACACACACACACTTACACACACACACACACGCGCGCGCGCACTTACTTACACATACATGCGCACACTCAAATGGTTACTCAGACAAAACACTCATACACATAAATATCCGTAAAAAAAAAAAAGCTTAAGTTTTATGGGGAACATGGTATTAGTATGCATTAGATGGATCTGAACTTGAGGCAGTCGTCCTGCTTCTGCCCCCTAGTACTGGGATTACAAGCATGCAACACCACGGTGGACTAAGAATGTTGTGTGATTTTTCCCCCTGTAGTTCCAGGGCACCAACAACAAGCCAAAGAAAATGATTCCACTCAAATCTAGCTCAAACTGTGTATTTGGTGATTTTATTTGTCACTACATAGTCAAACAACCTCTCAGAAGAAGGCTTTGAGGCTATTAATTTCAAAAGGCTGGACATTGAACCTCCAACTCCATCCACAGATGTAATTTGAATTTATGGTCAAGGCTACCTGAATTTCAGACTGTAGTTTTTACGGAGAAAGTTACAAAGAGTCCGCAAATGCAAAGAATCTGATGAGGCAAACTGATCAAACTTATTGTCGTAGGTGGCAACCTGGCTATAAAGATTGGCCCACCCGGAAGGTCTAACCTCAACCTTCAAGTCACAACATCGCGGCCAGGGCCACAGGGGAAGATCGCACACCCAGTCCGCGCGCGCCACCACGTCGCTTTTGCAGCCGTAGCTCCAAGCCGCCAATCAGCGGGGACGCTGGACGCAGGCGTGCTGCGTGCTGCGCGCCGACGCGGGGCAAGATGGCGGCGCCCGGCAAGCTTCCACTCGCTTAGTCGTTTCGAGCGCTTGTATCTTCCCTTTCAGCATGTTCCTTCTCCGAGACTGTGGCCGCCGGGCCGCGGCGTCCCTCGGCAGACGCTTGCCTCTGCGTCGCCTCGGCAGCGACAGCGCGGCCCCGTGCGGCGCGCGCTTTGATGTGGTAGTGATCGGAGGGGGGCACGCGGGGACCGAGGCGGCCGCCGCCGCCGCTCGCTGTGGCTCGCGGACTCTGCTGCTCACACACCGCGTGGACACGATCGGTGAGGAGCCCCGCGGCCTCGGCCGGCCAGCGGCGCAGGGGTGCGGTGGACGCCCGGGGTGGGAAACTCGCTAGGTCGTTGGGTTAACCTTCCCGGTGTTCTCACCTCAAAGAAAGGGTGAATTAACGTTCCACACGCGTCTGATTAAGCGACACAGTGCGTTCGCCGAGAGCTTGTGAAGCCCGTGTGGAAAACGGCTCTTCTTCCGTTCTGTTATCTCCGTCGAGAGTTTCGTGCCTGAGACTTGGCTGGTACGCGCAGTAGCGTATGCTCCACGTCTTCTTTTTCCGATCGTCACTGGTTAAACATTCGATTTTTCATGTTTCTTGGCTTTTGCGAATAGTGTTTCATTAAACACAGGTGTACACTCTTCGGCACAAAGATTTAAATTCTCTTGCATATATACACAAAGTTGTGTAAAACCTGTATTCTACCAACGCAGTGGGATATGTTTAAAAATATTTCAGAGACCTGTTAATAATTATCATAAGTGATTTTCAATAAAAGCAGCCCTAGGCCGGGTGGTGGTGGTGCACGCCTTTAATCCCAGCACTCGGGAGGTAGAGGCAGGCGGATCTCTGAGTTCGAGACCAGCCTGGATTACCAAGGGAGTTCCAGGACAGCCTCCAAAGCCACAGAGAAACCCTGTCTCGAAAACAAACAAACAAACAAACAAACAAAAAAACAGCCCTAATTTGAAACGAAATGATTGGGAGTGTTGTTGTTTGTTGTGACAGGGTTTCAGTGCCTGACTGGTCTGGAACTTGCTGTGTAGACCAGTCTGACTAGGAACTCACAATGTGACCCATCTGTCTGAGCCTCCAGAGTGCTGGGATTAAAGGTGTACGCCATAACACCTGGCCAAAATGATTGTTTTAAGGACGTTTGGTACAGTGTCAAGAGTTCTTTGGCGTCAAGGAAGACAGATGACTTTGTCTTAGAAGGTTGAGTCCGTAGGAACTCGGAGAGCAGGAGTGAGCCACTTCCTGCTCTGCTAATTCCTCCTCTTGTGAAGTCAGAGGAGAAAGAGTTTTCTTTTTCTAAAGTGAGTCTGGTAACCTGTACAACAGCTTTATTAAATGACATGAACAAGGTACTCGTTTATTCACCATGATCGTGTCCATTCTCTTTAGGTCAGATGTCCTGTAACCCTTCCTTTGGTGGCATCGGAAAGGGGCATTTGATGAGGGAAGTAGACGCCTTGGATGGCTTGTGTTCGCGAATCTGTGACCAGTCTGGTATACATTACAAAGTACTAAACCGGCGTAAGGGCCCTGCGGTGTGGGGGCTGAGAGCGCAGATTGATAGGAAACTTTATAAACAGAACATGCAGGTGAGAGGTGAGGACGGGGAGGACTGTGGGCCTCTTCAGCCTCTGTGCCGACTGGATTCTCTCTTGACAGAAGGAAGTCCTGAATACACCCCTGCTCATGGTTCAAGAGGGAGCTGTAGAAGATCTAGTTCTTACAGAACCAGAGCCTGGATACCCTGGGAAGTGCCGGGTCAGAGGTGTTGTTTTGGGTATGTACCGGCTGTTTGCTCATCCCACCACAGCAGACCCTGTGCGAAGTTTGCTTTAGAGAGAAAACAGAGATGTTTTTCCCATGCCAGGAGTTCTTAATTTCTCTGCCTGGGATTAAAGGCGTGTGCCGCCACTGCCACCACCACCACCACACTCGGCTATACATTTTTTTTTTTAAGATTTATTTATTTGTTATGTATACAGTATTCTGCCTGCATTCATATCTGCATGCCAGAAGAGGGCGGCATATCTCATTACAGATGGTTGTGAGCTACCATGTGGTTGCTGGGAATTGAACTCAGGCCCTCTGGAAGAGCAGTCAGTGTGCTTAACCTCTGAGCCATCGCTCCAGCCCACATGTTTTTTATTCCTTTAAGTTTCTGACTGTTTTAGGAGGTTGAAGAAATCATGTCACATTTAGCCAAAAGTCTACAGGGGAATTGGAGTTATGGGCAATTGTAAGCTGCCATGTGGGTCCTGGGAATTGAACCCAGATCCTTTGCAAGAGCAGCCTGTGCTCTTAACTGCTGAGACATTTTTCCAGCCCATAATTCTCTAAATGAACCTTCACTAACTGCACTGTGCCTGTGTGGTTTTAGGAAAGTGAGTTTACTGCTTTACACACCCACATACTGAAAGACCTCGGCATCAAAGCGCCGGGCACTGAACCGAACCCTCTGCCCAAGAACCGGGGCCAGACCACTGGCTGCAAATGCAAGAGGTGATTTATTGAGTACACAGGCGCCTGCGGATGCTACTGCAACTCGGGTGCAGAGCATACCGGGCTTTCAGGGAGTACAATATTTATAGAGTTTTAATGGTTACATAAGTAACAGGCATTTCATTGGCTCATCTTGGGGGCGGGGGTAGTTCCCACGGACTACGTTTCCTGGTATTACTTTATGAAAGACCCAGGCATACTTCAGCAATTATTATCCTGGTCCCATGACTACTATGGTGATCATAGACACAACTGGGGGCAAGGGTAGTTGCCAAGGACTAGGTGTCCTGGTATTGTCATATGAAAGTTCCCAGCACGCTTCAGCAATTATTATCCGGGTCCCATGACTGTTATAGTGATCACAGACATCCTGTTTTGAGGGTGAGACACCTGGTCTGGGTTTCTTTCATTAGGCAACGGCCTGGCCTTGCTTTTCTTTTCCTAGGGGGTCCTGGGTAGGAGTCTTTCAATACACACAGGGTTTTAATTGTGTATCTCTAGGTGTCCTGGAACTTGCTCTGTAGACCAGGCTGGCCTCAAACTCACCAAGATCCAGCAGCCTCTGAGTGCTGGGATTAAAGGCGTGTGCTTCCACACCTAGCTGTACTTTAATAAAGTTTTAAAAATAACTATAAAAAGTTCTCAAATTTATAGAGACAGGAGGTTTTACTGTAACTTTGATAGAAAGTGTTCATGTTCTATTTTGTTCTCTAGTAACAATCAGAAAATTAGTTTACTGGTTTTGTTTTCTACTCATTTAGCAGATGGAAGTACAATTTATGCAGAGAGTGTGATTCTGACAACTGGGACATTTCTGAGAGGCATGATGGTAATTGGATTGGAGATGCATCCTGCAGGACGTTTGGGGGATCAACCGGCTATAGGGTTGGCTCAGACTCTGGAGAAGTTGGGATTTGTGGTAGGAAGACTGAAGACTGGAACTCCACCCCGTCTTGCCAAAGAGTCCATTAATTTCAGCATTCTAAACAAGCAGACACCAGATAATCCATCCATACCATTCAGCTTTCTCAGTGAAACAGTGTGGATCAAGGTAAGATAGTTTATGAAAACTAGTTTGATTTGCTGGCTATTCACAGGTATCCTAACATCTATCTTTCTCTTATTTTGCTTTCTTTTTAAATTTCACTTTGTTTTTATTTTTGTGTATGTATCTGTATGAGGTTGACTGTGGAGGCCAGAACAGAGTGTTGGAACCCCCTTGGAGGTGGAATTACAAGAGATTGTGAGCTACCAATTCTGGGTGCTAGGAATCAAACTCTGGGCCTCTGAAGAGCAGCAAGCATACTGAGTCATCTCACCAGCCCCTCCTTCCTTCCCTTCTTTCATATGTGTTTTACCATATATATGTGCATGTGTGTGTGTGCATATTTGTTGTATAGTACAGTAAATACATATTTCTTTTTATGGAGCATTTGATAGTAAGTTACAGTGATTGTGAGCCTTTCTCAATCTGACCAGGTTGTGGTGGTGCACACCTTTAACCCCAGCACTTGGGAGTGCAGTGGCAAGGTGAATCTCTCTGAGTTTGAGGCCAGCCTGGACTACAGAGCACTTTTTTTTTTTAAGATTTATTTATATATACAGTGTTCTGCCTGCATGTATGCTTGCAGCCCAGAAGAGGGCACCAGATTTCCCCACATGTGGTTGCTGGGAATTGAACTCAGGACCTCTGGAAGAACAACTAGTGCTCTTAACCACTGAGCCATCTCTCCAGCCCCCAGACATCCTTTTATATAAAGGCAGAGCAATTGTCATGTTGAGCCAATGCTAGAAAGTTCTGTCAGAGTCTTCTGCTTTCCCCAGCGTTATCCAAAGTCATGCCTGCCCCAATCTGGGCTTGTACATTTGTTTTTGTTTTCACATTGATTTGTAAATGTATTTGTATGTTTGTTTTCATGTTACAAATGCTTGTGGAAGTCAGACAGCAACACTCGTGAATTGGTTCTGTCTTTCTACCATGTGGGTCCTTCAGTCTGGTCATCAAAGTTGACAGCAAGTGCCTTAACCTGCTAGTCTGTCCAAATTGATCCAACACTTTCTGCAGTGGTTTGGTGGGGCTGGGGAGGTGTTGTTTGGGTTTTTGTTTGTTTGTTTTGAGGGTACTTATATTGATTATTGAACCAAGGGCTTTGCACATACTAAGTGCTCTGTCACTGAGGTGCATGCCCTGTCCCCACCTGTCCTTTAAGTGGAAAAAGTAAGAATAGTGTATGTTTAGAATTAAAGATTAGGGTCTGGAGAGATGTCTCAGTAGTTAAAAGAGTATTGTCTACTCTTCCAGTGGACCCAGGTTCAATTCCAAGCACCCATGTGACAGCTTACAACCGTCTGTAACTCCAGTGCCAGGGGATCTGATTTACTCCATACACAGTGCATGCATTCAGGCAAAACACTCATACACATAAAATAAAAATAAATTCCCAGCCTGGCGTTGGTGGCGCACACCTTTAATCCCAGCACTCGGGAGGCAGAATCAGGCGGATCTCTGTGAGTTCGAGGCCAGCCTGGTCTACAAAGTGAGTTCCAGGACAGCCTCCAAAGCCACAGAGAAACCCTGTCTCAAAAAAAAACCAAAATAAATAAATAAATTCCCCTGGGCAGTGGTGACACACGCCTTTAATCCCAGTATTCAGGAGATGGAGGCAGGCAGATCTCTGTGAGTTTGGTCTACAAATTGAGTTCCAGAACAGCCAAAGCTGTTACACAAAGAAACTCTGTCTTGAAAAACCAAAAATATATAAATCTCAAAAAAAATCCAATTGAGTGTTAGTTATTGAGGTCCCAGTTTCAATTTCATGATGTGAGTTCTAAATATTGTTACTTTGAGTAAGTAATTTTTATCTTTGTGTCTGTGCCTGTGTGCTCACACTGGGGCATGTAGTAGAGATCAGAGAACAGCTTGTGGGAATTCATTTTCTACCATGTGGGTCCCTGGGGTTGAAATCAGACGTGGGTTCAGCTATGAATGTCTCTTCCTGCTGAACAGTCTCACTGGCCCACTTGAATGTTTTTGCTAAGTAAGAGGCAATTTACGACGACATTTCCTTAGCGTGTGTCCTTTAGCCTTTTGGTGACAGAGTCTTGCTATACATCCCAGACTGCCCTCCTGTCCACAGTCTTCCTGCTTGTTTCTCAGGTACTTTAAACTTTTTATTGGAACTGTTAGTTTGGGTGGTTGGGGGTGTGGTTTAGTTGAGAGAGTGCTTGCCTCGCATGCACAAGTCCTGGCGTATTCCCCAGCATGATAGAAACTTGCAGTCGTGGTGTATGCCCATAACCCTAGCCCTTGATAGGTGGAGACCAGAGAATCAAGAGGTTTAAGGTCGTCCTTAGCTACATAGTGAGTTTGAGGTCAGCCTGGACTACATGAAGCCCTGTGTTTTGTCAGGTTCAAAGCAGACAACACACTTGTAATCCTAGCACTCAGGAAGCTAAGGCAAAAAGATCTGTGAGTTTAAAGACTACCTACACTACTTTGTGAGGTCCTGCCTCAAAAAAAAATTACTTCACAAATTTGAGGACTAGCATAATGAATTAAAATTTAGATACTATTGTGTCCTTCTTTTTGCATTATTAAGGTTTTTTCTTTTTATATGCATGGAAGCAAAGGTGCCCGTGCATATGAGAAGCATCAGATACTCCTAGAGCTGTAGTTACAGGTTGTTGTAAGCCTCCTGATATCTATACTAAGAACTGAGCCCTCTGCAAAAGGAATAGTACATGTTTTTTACTGCCGAGTCATCTCCATCCTCTCACCACCACCCTTTTTGAGAGAGGGTCTTGACTGTGTGGCTGAACCAAGACTTGCTGGAACTCGTGGATGTGTTTCATTCCTCCTTTTTCTTTTAGTTTTAGTTTAGTTTTGTTTTTTAGATAGGTTCTCACTATGTAGCCCTGGCTAGCCTCAAACTGTAGACCAGGGTAGCCTTGAACTCGGAAATCTACCTGTGTCTACTCCAGTACTGGATTAGAGGGATATGTCACTATACCTGGCTATTTTACACCCCAGAAAACATTGTTTGTTTGGGTGGGTGGGTGCCTGCCCCTGTGCTATGACACTCACGTGGAGGTCAGAAGGCAACTTGAGAGAGTCAGTTCTCTTCTGCCATGTAGGTTCCAGGGTGATTGGGCTTAATGACAAGTGCCCTTGTCTCCTGAATGGTTGGTTGGTTGGTTGGTTGGTTGGTTGGTTGGTTGGTTGGTTGGTTGGTTGGTTGACTGACTGACTGACTGAGGATATTACTATGTATCACTGGCCTTGAACTAACAGAGACCAGCCTGTTTTCCAGTATGCCTGGCATCCACTGAGTCATCTTGCTGGCTCCTTCTTGGTGATTTTTAAGACATTTATAGATAACAGATCATTTGTATTTTCATGTCTTTAACAAAGAAAAACTCACCAATATCACAACGAACCTTTGTTTAGCATTGGGGTTTTTATGTGATAGGGTCTTGCTATGTAACTTTAGCAAATCTTCCTGCCTCACCTTTCCCAGTGCTGGGATTACAGTCATGAAACACTGTAACCTACTAAAACATCATTCCTTTAGGTGTTCCAAGACAGTTTTCGAGGTGTAGCCCTAGCTGTCCTGGAACTCTATTAATCCAGTTGGCCTCTAACTCACAGAGACCTGCCTGCCTTTGCCTCCTGAGTGCTGGGAATTGAGGTGTGCGCACCACCACTGCTCGGCTAAAGCATCATTTCTTTTTTGGTTTTTCGAGACAGGGTTTCTCTGTGGCTTTGGAGGCTGTCCTGGAACTAGCTCTTGTAGACCAGGCTGGCCTCGAACTCACAGAGATCTGCCTGCCTCTGCCTCCCAAGCGCTGGGATTAAAGGCGTGTGCCACCAACGCCCGGCTAACGCATCATTTCTTAATTTCATCTGAAACTCGATTTTTCTTAATTTCCTCAAACATAATTTGTTTCTCTCTCTCTCTCTCTCTCTCTGTGTGTGTGTGTGTGTGTGTGTGTGTGTGTGTGTGTGTTTTCTGCTCCCACCCCCTCATTTCTCTCCTACTCCCTCACAAAAAGTGTAGCATGTGGAGATCAAGGACAGCTCGTGGAAGTTTTTTCTCTCCTTTTACTGTGGGGTTCCTGCCACTCAAACTCAGAATGTCCCACCTCATTATTCCTAAGATGTGTTTTTATGTTAGTTTTATTTAAACAGAGAACAAAAGAGAAGTGTACATATTACACAGAGGACATTTTATAACTATTGTTCCCTCCCCCAGTATTTAGGTATAAACGAAGTTAAGTCATTTCCCCCAGATTTGTCTGATTATGTTCTCTATCTTCTTTCCTAGAAACTGATAATTAAATTTAGAAACTTGGTTAAATTTAGATTCACCTATCGAGTTACATATTTATTTTTGGCAGGAATATTTAATTATGCACAAATTTAATGTGTTCTGAAATAAATCAGTATTGTGCAAGTTTTTTAAAAATAAGAGGCCAATCAGTAAATAAAGGAGCAAAATAATGTTGTATGCCGGCTGTGGTGACCCACATGCGATCACAGCAGTCAGGAGGCGGGGCAAGACAAGAGAGCTCTGGGCCACTAGAGACCCCGTCTCAGACATGCAGCAGGTGAAATGTGTGCTGTGTGTGATTTCTGTTTTCTAGCCAGAAGATCAGCTGCCATGTTACTTGACCCATACCAACCCCAGAGTGGATGAGATTGTCCTTGAGAACTTGCACCTCAATAGCCATGTTAAGGAAACCACACGAGGACCCCGGTAAGGACTAGAAGTGAGTGCTTACTCGCTTTGAGGAATGAGGTAACTTTGCCATCCAATTTACTTCAAATTTCAATGTTTTGTTCTAGATACTGTCCCTCCATTGAATCAAAAGTTTTACGTTTCCCAAACCGTGTACATCAGGTTTGGTTGGAACCGGAAGGAACGGATTCTGACCTTATCTACCCCCAAGGGTTATCTGTTACACTACCAGCTGAGCTACAAGAGAAAATGATAACATGCATCAGAGGCTTGGAAAAAGCCAAAATGGTTCAACCAGGTAAAGAGGGTCACAGGTGTGCTTCAGTAAGCAGGGCACTGGTGTGCTTTCATTACAGCTTAGTGCTCCATAAAATAAGCCAAAGCTGGACATGGAGACACACATCTGTAACCCTGGCACTTGGGAGAAACAGGAATCTTCCTTCAAGCTTGAGGCCCAGCATCTATGCATTTCATGTCATCTGATGCATTTGTGTTCCTCTTTGAGGTGGGCACAGCTACTCTGACTTACCCTGTACACTTGCTCTTTGACCAGGCTACGGTGTTCAGTATGACTATTTAGATCCCCGTCAGATGAGTCCTTCCCTTGAGACACATTTGGTTCAACGGCTATTCTTTGCTGGACAGATAAATGGAACCACTGGCTATGAGGAAGCTGCAGCTCAGGTAAGATTTGTTTTATTTCATTTTGCTTAAGACAGGTTCTCTTGGGCTGGAGAGATAGCTCAGAGATTAAGAGCACGGGCTGCTCTTCCAGAGGACTCAAGTGCAATTCCCAGCAACCATAAGATGGCTCACAACTATCCGTAATGAGATATGGTGCCCTCTTCTGGCCTACAGGGACACATGCTGAAAGAACACTGTATATGTAATAAATAATAAATCTTAAAAAAAAAAAAAAAAAGATAGGTCTGTCTAGCTAGTGTTAGCTGTCCATGTAGAGTAGGCTGGCTTCAACCTCAAAGAGATCCACCTGTTTCTGCTTCCCAAGTGCTGGGATTAAAGACGTGTGCCACCATGCCCAGTTGTTACTATAAACCAGAAGAGATCATTTCATTAGTTTTCATTTTTTTAGTGTCTGTTGTTGATTATACAGATCTTGGGTACAACAGTATTTTAGGCTAAGTGGATATAGTTATATATACTTGTTTTGTTTTGAAAAAGGGTCTTGCTGTGTAGCCCAGATTGGCCTCAAACTTGCTATATAGCCAAGGCTGGCCTTGAAAATCCAATCCAACCCTCACCTTCCAAGTGCTGAGATTACAAGTGTGCACCACCACTCCTGATCAAACTGCTGATCTCTCTGCTTTGCTTCCCTAGTGTTAGGATTACAGACATGTGCCATGGTGCCCAACTTGTGGAGGGTGATTTTGAAAATGCATACAGCTAGTTTCTGGGTCCCTAGATCAGCCAGGATATTGAGAAAAAATTTAAGGAATTGCTTGTGAAGTATAAAAAGAACATTTTATTCCTTTAAGAGTTCTGAAAAATTACATGTTGTTACTGTTTTGATTTTCTCTGTTGTGTGTATGTGCACATTTGTCCATTTTGCAGCCAGCGATCAACATTAGATGTCTTTCTCAATTGTTCTTTACCTTATTTTATTTTTAATTTTGTTTTATGTGTATGGGTGTTGTGTTTGCATGTATGTCTGTGTACCACGTGTGTGCATGTGGAGGCCAGAAGAGGGTATTAGATGCCCTGGAACTTGAGATACAAATAGTTGTGAGCCACGAGTGGGAGCTGGGAATCAGACTCCCTTATTTTTATTATGGGTGGAAGGAGGTGTGCACACAGAATGCTTGTGCCAGAGGAGGCCGGAAGAGCGCTTCTCTGGAGCTGCAGTTATAGGTGGTTGTGAGCTGCCCAGCATCGGCACAGCAAACCCAACCTGCAAGAGCAGTATACACTCTTAACCAGCACCTCCACCTCCTTTTTGAGACAGAATCTCTCATTGCACTCACCAGTTAGGCTAACCCAATGAGTTTCAGTGGTCCAATTGTCTCTGCCTTCTCAGTGCTGAGATTATAGGCCAGAGCTACTGTGCTCAGGTTTTTCATGAGACTGTTAGGGATCCACTTGAGGTCTGTATGTATGCTTTAGAGGTAGGCATTTTATGAAATCTTTCCAACCTCCCATAATATTCTTTACCATTGTCTTGATCACTATTCTGTTGTTGTGAAGAGACACCCTGAGCACAGCAACTCTTAGAAAAGAAAGCATTTAATCTGGGATGGTTTACAGTCTCAGAGGTTAGTCCATTATCATCATAGGTGAGAGAATGGCGGCAAGCAGGCAGACACAGTTCTGGAGAAGTAGCAGAGAGTTGTACATCCGGATCCACAGGTAGCAGGAAGAAAGAGATACCGAGACTAGCTTAGAGTTGATATCTCAAAGCCACCCCCAGTGACGCACCATCTCCAACAAGGCCACACCTTCTAATCCTTCTCAGATAGTGCCATTCCATGATGACTAAGCATTCAGACTCCAGGGTTCTTATTCACACCATCACACAGTGGTAGATTATGGTTTGCTTGTGCATAGAAGAAAGCTAGAGAACAAACGGGTTTACAAAGACTAGAACTCCCCGATCCTCTGCAGAATGAATCATAGCATTCTAACATTTGTTCTGTTTCTGAATGTGGATTATATTTATATTCCTTCTGAGCCTGCTTTTTTCCTACACTATGTGTTTGTTTTCATTCTTTGAGACAGGGTTTCTCAGTGTAGCCCTCGCTGTCCTGGAACTAGCTCTGTAGAACAGGGTGGCCTCAAACTCAGAAATCTGACTGCCTCTGCTTCTAAGTACTAGGATTAAAGGTGTTCACCACTGCTAACCAGTTCTTCCTCCCCTTGCTGTTTTTTGTTTGTTTTGTTTTTCCAGGTAGTGGGCTAAATAGAATAGCTATTATTTGTTCAGTTCATAATGGCCTCTTAAACATTTCAGTCCTCTTATAGGGTGTGATAGCTGGGATCAACGCCAGTCTTCGGGTCAGTGGAAAACCACCCTTTGTTGTAAGTCGCACAGAAGGCTACATAGGAGTCTTGATTGATGATCTTACCACACTGGGCACCAGTGAACCATACCGCATGTTTACCAGCAGGGTAGAGTTCCGTTTGTCACTGCGCCCAGATAATGCTGACAGCCGCCTCACATTCCGAGGTAATCTATAGCCAAGTCTTGTAAGGTACGGCACTGCCTTTTGGATTATTGTTGGGTAGTTGTTTTGAGGCAGGGCCTCTTCAAGTGTAGCTAAGGTGACTTTGGGTTCCTGTTCTTCTTGACTCCACCTCTCAAGTAGTGGGAAGGGGAAGTTGGGATGAAGGGCTGTTGAGACAAGGTCTCCATATGTGGCCTGGCTAGCCTGGAATTACTGTAGTCTTCCCTCGGTTGCCTCTAAGTGCTTGTATTACATTGCACTCCATTATTTAAACCTCTCCCTCTTCCTTTCCTAGCCCATAAGGATGCTGGCTGTGTGTCCCCACAGCGATATGAAAGAGCTTCGTGGATGAAATCTTCTTTAGAAGAAGGCATTTCTGTGTTGAAATCCATTGAGCTTTCAAGCTCCAAGTGGAAAAAGTTAATTCCACAAGTTTCTATAAGTGTTAATAGAAGCCTTCCTGTCAGGTATGATTTTCTTTTCTTTTTCTTTTTTTGTTTTTTTGTTTGTTTGTTTTGTTTTGTTTTTCGAGACAGGGGTTTCTCTGTGGCTTTGGAGGCTGTCCTGGAACTCACTTGGTAGTCCAGGCTGGTCTCGAACTCACAGAGATCCACCTGCCTCTGCCTCCCGAGTGCTGGGATTAAAGGCATGCGCCACCAACATCCGGCCAGGTATGATTTTCAGTGTAGACTTTTCTTAGTTTTTACAGAAAAATGAGATTTCAGTGAGTTATCTTATACAGACTCCCTACCTATACATTTTAAGTGAATACAGCTTGCCCTTAGCTTCTCGGCAGCCTTTAGTATAACTCATCTACTTATTCAATGTATATAAATATATAAGCCTTGTATGACATTAATCTTGGCAGTCAGGAGGTGGAGGCAGCAGGGATCAGGAGTTTCAGATCAGTCTGAACTGGGATCTAGAAAACCGTGTCTTTAAAAATAAGGTTTGTTGCTGGGCGTTGGTGGCGCACGCCTTTAATCCCAGCGCTTGGGAGGCAGAGGCAAGTGGATCTCTGTGAGTTCGAGACCAAGCCTGGTCTACCGAGCGAGTTCCAGGACAGGCTCCAAAAACAATACAGAGAAACCCTGTCTCGGAAAAAAAAAAAAAAGGTTTGTTTGTTTGGAGATTTGTTTATTTATTATGTAAATAGTGTTCTGCATGTATGGCATGGAGGCCAGAAGAGGGCACCAGATTTCCCCACAGATGGTTGTGAACCACCATGTGGTTGCTGGGAATTGAACTCAGAACCTTTGGAAGAGCAGGAAGTACTCCTAACCACTGAGCCATCTCTCCAGCCCCGAAAAATAAGTTTTAAAAGAAATTAAAGATGTATATGACTGGGCATGTGGCTTGATGGTAAAATGCATGCTTAGCATGAGTGACCTCTTGGATTCAATCCCAGAGTCTCTACCTTCCAAGTGCTGGGGTAAAAGTATGTACCACCATACCTAGTGAAAATGTTTTAATAAAATATATTTATTTGTGATTGGCTATAAATTATTATTTTTGTGTGTGTTAGGTGTTTTACCTACGTGTATATGTATGTATTTGCACCATATACACATCCTGTGTCCAGGGAACCAGAAGAAGGGCATCAATCAGGTCCCATGAAACTAGAGTTACAGATGGTTATAGGCTGCCCTGTGTTTGCTGGGAATCAAAACTGGGTCCTCTGGAATAACAGTCAACATCTCTTCTATAATTTCTTTGTGGTTCCATTTGAGATCTTTTGGTTTTACGCAGTTTTAGAGGCTCAAAACCAAAAGGACCCATTTTCTTTGCTAGACTGCTCTACAGAGACCACATAGAGAGATGGGAAACCAGAAATCTAGGCATAAGGCTTGCTGTTCTGGTGAGAGCTCACTAGTGTGAGCACCAGCTCTGTAACAGTTTTGAGTTCTTCTGAAGAGCAGAGACATAGTTACTGCTGGTCATAGTTAAGGCGAAGGCCTTAAACTGTGTGCTTCAACAATGTGACAGAGAGACTGCACTTCCAGAACATGAGCCTTAGCGGGACACAAACCTCATCTGAACCCTGGCATGCAGAAGGATGAGCATTCATAGTACACTACCAAGACTTAGTAGATGTGAAGTGCATTCCCTGTGCTCTGAACGTGATGAAGCCCTTGTTAGCAGAGGGTGCTCTTTGTAAAACAAAAGGAGACACCAGCCTAAAATACCTTAATAACAATAGTGTGGCCTGGAGAGATGGCTCAGAGGTTAAGAGCACTGACTGCTCTTCCAAAGGTCCCAAGTTCAATATTCCCAGCAACCACATGGTGGCTCACAATCATCTGTAGTGGGATCTGGTGCCCTCTTCTGGTCTGCAGGCACCCAGGCAGGCAAAGAGAGCACTATATACATAATAAATAAACAAACAAACAAATAAATCTTTTTTTAAAAAGTATAATTCTTATGATAGGAAGTCAGGAAACTATACTTTTGGATGGGAATTTTAAGCTGGGGTTTTCTGTAACCCAGGCTGTCCTCAAATTTGCCATGTAACAAAGGCTGGCCTGGCCCTCGCTCCCTGTGCTGCTGCCTCTGCCTCTCAAGTGCTGGGGTGATGGGCATGCATTAGCAGGCACAAAGAGAATCAATTATTCTTTCTTTTTCTTTTTTTTTTTTTTTTATGTGCTGGGTGTGAGGGTGTCAGACCCCTGGAACTGGAGTTACAGACAGTTGTGAGCTGCCATGTGGGTGCTGGGTTGAACCCCAATCCTCTAGATGAGTGGCCAGTGCTCTCAAACACTGAGTCATCTCTCCAGCCCCAATTACTTTTTTAATGACCTACTTTACAGATACTATCCTTTTTAAATTTATCTTATTTTATTTTGCAGCAGGGTCTCTTTATGTAGCTGGGCTAATTATATAGACGAGGCTGGCCTCAAACTCAAGAGATCCTTCCGCCTCTGCCTCCTGAGCATTGGGATTAAAAGTGTGCACTACCACATCTGGTCCAATACTACTGCATTTGCTCACTATACTTGGAAAAAAAATGAAGAGTCTCTTTTAATTATTCTAATACTTAGTATCATCCCAAGGGATTTTGTTCTTAGTTTGCCTTACAGGATATGGATCCTTATGTTGATAAAATTTTTACGTTGGCAGCGCTCTAGATGTTCTTAAGTGTGAAGAAGTTGACATGGACTTACTAGCCACTGCTGTTCCTGAGCCCTTGCAGAAGTACACTGCTGATAGAGAGCTGGCGAGAAGACTGAAAATAGAAGGTAAAGAGAGCGGTTTCCTCCACAGGCCTGTGTTTGCTTTCCCGTGTGTGCAGATGACACGTGAGCAGTAGACCCATTGAGAGCACTGTTTGCTGAGCATAGTGGCACATGCCTGAGGAGAACATGGCGTCGTGTTTTATGAGTTTGTCCTCCAGGAGAAACTAAGCAGTGAAAAGGGTACAGAACAGGGTGGTTATGGGAACAGTAGGAAAAGTAGGATGATGTTTGCTTTTATACAGGAAAAGGCCTTAGGCTCCTTGGAGAACAACCAGGGTGGTAAGAATGGCCCATTCCATGCAGGGTTGGTGGTCTCTTTCAATTCCACAGAGATCTGTCAGCTTACTATGTTTTGGCTGTGTGCATAGAATGACACGTGTTGCCTGCCATTCCATTATATAATTTTATAAAAGGCTAGCAATGAAAAGAAACCTACCAGAAATTCTAGAAACATTTTTCCAAATGACCCAATATTTAAAAATTAAATTTGATTTAAAAAAAATAACACAGATGGGACTGGAAAGGTGGCTCGGTGGTTAAGAACACATACTGTTCTTCCAGAGGATCAGAGTTCAGTTCCCAGAATCCACATAAGGTGGCTCCCAACCACTTGTAACTTCAGCTATAGGGGATCCACAGACACCTGCACTCATATGCACACAAACCACACACATTCACATGGTTAAAAATAGCTTGTAAAATCTTAAAAAAGAAAACTCAGGTCACTCAGTACAGGAAGTAATTCAACCATGACATAGCTGCTCCTTGCTCTGTAAAGACTAGGGCTTATAAAAATTCCAGCATCCACTTGAGGTTTAAAAAAAGCCACTTTGGGTTAAAGTACAACATATATGGGTGATTTTCAAGTTACTGCTTGAATCTCCCCAACCTTCTTTTAATCTTTAATTTTATTTTTGTTTTCATTTTTGTGTTTGTGTGTGTATGCACATGTGTGCCCGTGTTTATGGAGGGCAGAAGAGGGTGGTGTCGGATCCTCTAGAACTGGAGTTAGACTTGAGTTGTGAACTGCCTGAGAAGGGTGTTGGAAACAAAGGGCCCTCTACAAGAGCAGCAAGTGCTCTCAACCACTCTCCAGTGACTTGTTCGTCTGTTTGTTTGCAGCATGGCCTCATGTAGCCCAGGCCGCCCTAAACTCCTAAGCAGCTGAGGATGACCTGGAGCTTTTAGATCCTCTTGCCTCTCGCTATAAGTGCTGTGTTTGCTGGTGTGTGCCACCGTACCTGGTTTTGTGCAGTGGTAGAATGTGACGGCTAATATCAGTTGTTAGCTTGACAGGATTTAGGGTTACCCAGGGATGCAAGTATGCCAGACAAGCCCTCTGCCAACTGAGCTACATTCTTGAGAGCAGAAGTCAGTGTCACATTGTATTATCTTTCTTGTTTTGTAATTTATATTTGAGAGATTAAATAAATATGCCCTTGACCATGGGATAGCTGAGACCATGTCTCAGCTATCCCATGTGTTAACATAGTTTGCTCACATTCCATTACACCCTGAGGGCTATTTATGAATCATAAAATTGTGCCAGGTATAGTGAAGCATTCCTGTGTAATCCCAGAACTTGGGAGCTAAGGCAGGGAGGCAGGGGTTGTAAAAGGTCTTCCTGGCCAACTCAGTGAGACAGAGTCTAAAAAGTCTAAGAAGGGATAGGGATATAACTCAGTGGTTACAGTGGAGTGTGTGTCTTCCTGCCTAGCATTCACCGTGCCGAGTCCTGGACTTCATCACCAGTACCAAAAGCAAACAAGTTTTGTTTTGTTTTTTGTTTTTTTTAAGTTTTGACCCTGTTTTTCTAAGAATAGAATGCTTAACAAAGTTAATTGCCAAGCTCTCTTCAGAACATTACTTCTCAATAAAATCCTTAACTAAATTGCATGTTATGCTTGCTATCCAAGGAACCCCACTTCTAAAAAATTACTGCTTTGGGGCTGGGGGCATAGCTGAATAGTAGAGCTACTTGTCTAACATGTATAGACCATGGGATCAATCTCTGGGGCCACCTTGAAACATTCTCTCTCTCTTCCTCTGTCTCTTTCTTCCTCCTTCCCTCACTCCGTCTCTGGGACCACCTGAAAACACACACACAGCCGGGCGGTGGTGGCGCACACCTTTAATCCCAGCACTCGGGAGGCAGAGGCAGGCGGATCTCTGTGAGTTGGAGGCCAGCCTGGTCTACAAGAGCGAGTTCCCAGGATAGCCTCCAAAGCTACAGAAAAACCTTGTCTCAGAAAACCAAAAAAAAAAAAAAAAACAAACAAAACACACACACACACATCTTCACATGAAAATAATTTGGAGAACTATTTTTCTGGAGGAACAGCCCATCTTTAGGACATAACATTTGCACTGACAGAGTCATTTCAGCTGGGCATGGTGGCAGACACCTGTAGTACTACCACTTTGGCCGTGGATGCTGGATGACAATCAGTAGTTTAACGTTATCCTTGGCTATGTGTAGTTCATCTTTATGATAACCTCCGGTTTCCTCACCTCAAAAAGGAACACCAACCAGGAATTCAAGGCTAGCCTGGGCTACATGAGAGTCTGTCTCAGAAATAGATAGTGGAGATTATCTACCCCACTTGTCTCAGAGTATCAAGTAGTGAATGAGCTGATGCATGCAGAAGCTATTTGTAAACAGTAAAAGGTTATACAAATATAGTTTGTTAGTATAATGTGTGTATCATAATGTAATTCTAACTTTTTTTTGTACCAGCTGCTTATGAGTCTGTATTGATGTTTCAACTACAAGAAATAAAGGAGGTTCAGCAAGATGAAGCTTTGCAACTGCCACAAGACCTAGATTATCTAACAATCAGGGATGTGTCATTGTCCCAGGAAGTTCGAGAGAAGCTACACCTGAGTCGCCCACAGACAGTAAGCAAACAAGCAGTAGGAAGAAGCAAGTTATAAGCAAAGCCAGAAAGGGCTAGTGCTTTAGTTTTTAATCCTGGACTTAGAGTGGTCACCTGAGTGACCTTGAGAAACTTAATCTTGGAGCTGGAGAGCTAGCTCTGCAACAAAGAGGACTTGCTCTTGCAAAGGACCCTGGTTTGGTTCCTATGGTGGCTCACAGCCTACTTCGGTTCCAGAGAATTTGATGCCCCCTTCTGACCTTTGAGGATGCTACATGTACACGGTGTGCTTTACAACATTCAAAATCACTCATACACATGACAAAAAAAATTTTCTTTTAAAAAAGTTTTTTTTAAAGACTTGGTTTAAGCTGGGCATTGGTGGCGCACGCCTTTAATCCCAGCACTCGGGAGGCAGAGGCAGGCGGATCTCTGTGAGTTCGAGGCCAGGCTGGACCGATAGCCTCCAAAACAAAGAAACCCTGTCTCGTAAAACCAAAAAAAAAAAAACCAGACTTGGTTTAATTGCATTTATACTCTTATCCCAACCATGTGCTAAAGCATTAATGCACGCCCTCTTACTGTACAACCCTTGAAGCAAAGCAGTGTAGTGTAAGCATAAAATTTTATTTTGCATTCAAAACAAAACTGTTCTCCCCTTCCTCTTCCTCACTCCTCATCAAGAGATTTTGCCTGGCTTGAACTTGGGCAAGTCTTGTCTGTTGTGTTCTGAAATCACCACTTCCTTTAAGTCATCCATTCTCAGCATCTTTCCATCCTCTCTTCCTCAAAGATCCCTGAGCTTTGAGGGCAGATGTCTCATTTAGGGGTGAGCCCTCCAAAGTCTTGTATTCTGCATGTTGACCAGTTGTGAATCTCTGTGTTAATTGCAATCTATACCACATATTTTCTTTCTTTAAAAAAGATTTTTTTGTTTTATATGTATGAGTGTTTTCTCTGCATGTTCTTGTGTACACCACGTGTATACCTGGTACCTGTGGAGGTCAGAAGAGGATATCAGATTCAGATCCCCTGGAACTGGAGTCATGGAGAGTTGTAAGCCAGTCACCTCATTGTGAACTCTGGTCCTCTGCAAGAGTGCTCTTAATCAATGAGCCATCTCTTCAGCCCTCCCACAGATCTTCTTAATGGAAAGGAAAGGATATTGTAACATGTTATGGGAATAGGGAGGAAGATGATTAGAGTCTTTGTAGCTTAGGCTGGACTTGAACTTAAGATCTTTCTGTCTTTGTCTTCCAAGCACTAGGATTCTGGGTGTGTCCCAAGACCTAGATGTGTTTTTGTCTGTTGAGATATGGTCTCCCTTAAACTTGGAACCCTTCTGGCACAATGCCCTGAGTCCTGTTATTACATGCATGTTCAGTTTACTTCTGATCTTGCACACATTGTTTTTAACTTCTGAGCTGAAGACATAATGTCACATTTCCTTTATCTGCTTTACAAACTTCCCTTAATTACATTCAGGTTTTTTTATGGGTATGAAAGTTTTACCTGCATGTATGTATGTACACAATGTGCATACCCAATGAAAGACAGATGAAGAGGGCATTGGATCCTCTGGAACTGGTTTGAGTTGCCTTGTGGGTGTTGGGAACTGAATCTGGGTCCTTTGCAAGAGAAGCAAGTGTAGACCCATCTTTCCAGCCTTCCAATTTTAATTTTTTTTATTGTATATTTGGGGGGGGAGTGGCTTCAAGACAGTGTTTCTCTGTAGTCCTGTCTCTGTAGACCAGGCTAGCCTTGAATCAGATCTACCTGCCTCTGCCTCCCGAGTGCTGGGATTAAAGGCATGGGCCACCATCACCCAGCTCTTAGATAATTTTTAAAAGCTGGGTGTAATGGCACCTGCCTTTATAATCTGTATAAAGAGAGTGTGAAGAGAGTAGATTTGATGTGAGTAGCTCACTTTGGTTCTTTTGTCATTTTCATTCCTAGATTGGAGCTGCTAGTCGTATACCTGGAGTGACACCAGCTGCCATCGTCAATCTGCTCAGATTTGTGAAGACCACTCAGCAAAGACAGGCAGCAGTGATGGAACACCAAACCAATTAGTACTTATGTGATACAAAGAAACTTCGAGACAGAGAATTGTAACTTTCATTTCATAGAGGACTTGTAGAAAGGGCCTAGAGAGTATAAAAATAGCACCTGTGAGAATAGCATTGTTAGATTATTTTAGGTTTATATTTGTAAGACAAAGGTTACAGTTGTACTTTTTTATGTATCTAAGCAAAATAGTTAAAAACAATGTATAGTTCTCTCTGGGGCTCTATACAGTAAGCCTATTTCTATAGGTTATATATCATTCATCAGAGGTTAATAGTTAAGCCAAAACTAACCCTGAAACTGAGTGGTGGTACAGATTTTAAATATCTCTTTAAGAGGCTGAGGCTGGGCTGGGCAGGGCAGTGGTGATGCACACCTTTAGTCCCAGCACTCGGGAGGCAGAGGCAGACAGATCTCTGAGTTTGAGGCCAGCCTGGTCTATACAGATTAAGTTCCAGGACAGGCAGGGCTATACAGAGAAACCCTGTCTCAAACAAAAGAGACTAAAGCAGGAGGATTAGGAGTTCAATATTAAATTGGCTGTACAATGAAACCTGGTCTCGAGGAAACAAAGACAGCCACTTACAGAGCCTATGCTCCTTGGCCCACTTTTGTCATTTATGCAGAAGAACTTTCCCTGACACTCTGGACACTCACACTCATTCTCCAAAGCTCTACCATTCTGTTTGCTTTCTTTTAACCAAATGGTATTTCTCTCTCTTTCCAGCTTCCTCTCCCTGGCAGCTGCAGAGATTTACAGTTTGCTTGCCCTGTTGTTTTTCTCTCAAACTCTTGTAAAATGGTCCTTGAGTTTTAGAAACAAAAAGTATTCAGGGGTAGGAGAGATGGCCCAGAGGCTTGCTATGCTTACAGAGGACCTGAGTTTGACTCCCAGCATCCACATCAGCCTGATGCCTGTAACTGCAGTTCAACGGGTCTGATGCCATCTTCTGGCCACCACTAGTGCCCAGACCTCCTTTGTATCCTTCCCCAAATAAAATCTGAGGATCTGAGGAGAAACTTGCTCTTTTCCAGTCTCAGGCTTTTTAGGAACTGCCCATTATTTTGTAGACATTGCCAAGTCTAAGAACCACACAAATTAACCAGCCCAGAAATGGCATTAAGAAACCCAATTATAAAGATACAATCTAAAGGGGTTGACTCCAAATGCCTGATGGACATGTTGTTTTGTCAAGAAACTCTGAAGGAGCTGAGTCCATTCAAGACCTTTTTATTTTTATTTATTTATTTTTTTTTTTGGTTTTTCGAGACAGGGTTTCTCTGTGGCTTTGGAGGCTGTCCTGGAACTCGCTCTGTAGTCCAGGCTGGTCTCGAACTCACAGAGATCCGCCTGCCTCTGCCTCCCGAGTGCTGGGATTAAAGGCGTGCGCCACCAACGCCCGGCTCAAGACCTTTTTAAAAACTTAAGGAGACTAAGCCTGAGACTCTGGAAGAAGACAAACAACACAGTCATTGATTGGACATGCTAAGGGTATCAGGGCCCCAGTGAAGTCCTGTCTGTATGGAAGTATGGAGACAGATGAATTCATGTCACAACCCCATCTCCCATATTGTGTGCAAGTGCCTAGTATCCTATGATGTTTTTACAGGTAAGCATAAAATGGAGAAAAAGATCAATTTGTAGATTTGCTACTCATAAGCCCATGTGTAAATTAATTTGGTGTACTTGCTCATAAAGTATACCAAATCACAGCTTAACATTGTCTGCTCCCTGTAGGTTAGGAAGCAATGGTTCAAGTCTTAAGTCAGGATGAAAATGAAGACTGAGCTGGGCAGTGGTGGCACAGGCCTTTAATCCCAGCACTGAGAGCCAGAGGAAGGTGGATCTCTATGAGTTTGGGAAGGCCACTGTGGTCTACTAAGCAAGTTCTAGGACAGCCAAGGCAACACAGAAGCCTGTCTTGAAAAACTCCCCAAGAGCCGGGCAGTGGTGGCGCACGCCTTTAATCCCGGCACTCGGGAGGCAGAGGCAGGCGGATCTCGGTGACTTTGAGACCAGCCTGGTCTACAAGAGCTAGTTCCAGGACAGTCTCCAAAGCCACAGAGAAACCCTGTCTCGAAAAACCAAAAAAAAGAAAGAAAAACTCCCCAAGAAGAAAAATGAAGACTACAAGACCACCCAGATTCACTCAGCTAATTTATTTTTTCTCTCATTTGAGAACAGTTTTCAGCTGCTGTGCTATTACTCTATTACACACATGTAATCTTAATACTAGGAAAGAGGGAGTAGCAGGAGATGAGGAAATGGATCAGCGGTTAAGTGCAATGGCTGCTTTTTCAGAGGACAGAGAATTGAGGCTCGCACCCACAAGATGGCTCACAACAGTATATAACTCCAGGAGACCCAACACCTTCTGACCTTTGTGGCCATGTAGTACACAGACATACATGTAGGCCAAACATCCATATGTGTAATACTTCTTTTTCTTATTTTAGCACTTAAAAGAGTAGTCAGGAAGCTCAGAAATTCAAAGTCACCTTCAGTTTGAGGCTAGTCTTGGCTACATGGCAGTGCTCAGATCTATGGGTAGGTGGCGGGTAAATGTGCAGCCCATGCAGTTTCTAATTTTGGAATTAATTTGTAGGTTAAAAGCTAACTTAGAACATTTAAATCTTAGATTTCGGTACTCTGGGAAGTTTCAACAGTCACTAGTTTTGAACATTAATAAATACTATAAAACAGACACATAAACTTACTTTGTAAGCTGGTTAAGGGAGGCAGAAGGTGGTCAGATTTCATACAACAAAAATGCTTACTGATGAAACTGACCTGGGCATGATCTAACAATAAAGCAATCCATTCATAGTAACTGATAACTTGTGTCTAGTAATGCTGTATCCTTCCTTTTCTAGTAGAACAGATAGTATGTGATCCGAAGGCTACATTGGGGTGACCAATGTGGGTCCCTTGGCCAGCCTTTATGGGTAGACTAGGGAATATAGCCAAATGGGCCAGATGATCCTGTTGGTTTCTCTCTCTCTCTCTCTCTCTTTTTTTTTTTTTTTTTCCTAGTGCTGGGATTAAACACCCCGCTCCTGTTTTTTTCTTTCTTTCTTTTTTTTTTTTTTTTTTTTTTTTTTTTGGTTTTTCGAGACAGGGTTTCTCTGTATTGTTTTGGAGCCTGTCCTGGAACTCACTCGGTAGACCAGGCTGTTCTCGAACTCACAGTGATCCGCCTGTCTCTGCCTCCTGAGTCCTGTTTTTTTCTTTAATGCCAGCCAGCCTATTAGCCTAGCTAGGGAAAAGCCCCTGTGATTGCCTAGGCTTCAGCTAGAACTTCATGGTCCAAGGGCTGATTATGGGGAAGGCAACCAAATATTTTGTTATATAGTTTGACATGATCGTTTGGATATAGTTCAATTTTCCTAGATTTTTTTGTATGTTCCATCTAATTTTGGCCATTCCAGATCAGTGTCTATTGATGCATAATTTCTTTTTCTTTCTTTTTTTTTTTTTTTGTTGTTGTTTTTTGGTTTTTTGAGACAGGGTTTCTCTGTATTGTTTTGGAGGCTGTCCTGGAACTCGCTCTCTAGACCAGGCGGCCTCGAACTCACAGAGATCCACCTGCCTCTGCCTCCCGAGTGCTGGGATTAAAGGTGTGCGCCACCAACGCCCGGCCAAAAATTTATCTTTATGTGCATTGGAGTTTTGCCTGTTTGAATGTCTGTGCCAAAACCTTTGAAACTGGAGTTAGAATTGTAAGCTGCTGTGTAGATAGTAGGAATTGAACTCGGGTCCTCTGGAAGTGCAGCCAGTGCTCTTAACTGCTGAGCCATCTCTCTGGCTCTGATACCTTGCAAAAGGTAGGTGTGAGTGTGAGTGTGATTTGGTTTTTTGAAACATGGTTTCTCTGTGTGTGTCTGTGTGTGTGAGTGTGATTTGGTTTGGTTTTTTGAAACATGGTTTCTCTGTAGCCTGTCCTGGAACTCGCTCTGTAGACCAGCCTTGAACTCAGAGATCCACCTGTTTCTACCTCCTGAGTACCAGGATTAAAGTGGTACACCACACCCACCTGTCTCAAAATGTAGCTTTTATTTTAGTCAATGTCATGTGTGTTTACAAATACATAGAATACATAGCAAACTTCAGCTAGGCATGGGCAGCCTGGCTAAATGATAGCATTGCACATTGGAGGCTAATTTGTGCTGTACAGTGAGACTATCTTTAAATTTAGAAAAAAGTGTAGTTCACACCTGTAATCCCAAAATTTGAGAGGCAGGATTGTCTCAAATTGGAGTCAAGCATAGTACAAAGCAAAACAAAATATGTAATCCTAGCAGCTGGGGAGGCAGAGACAAGGAAAACCATAAATTCAAGGTTAACCTGATCCACCTAAACAAGCCAGAGTCACATAGCAATGTGTGCTCAAAAGTAGGGGTTGATGTGGGGTGGCTGGAGAGATGATTCAACAGTTACGATCACTGCTGCTCTTCCAGAGAACTTGGGTTCAATTACCAGCACCTATGTGGTAGCTAATACCCATCTGTAATTCAAGCCCAGAGGATCCAAAGCCCTCTTCTGGCCTATATAGGTACCAGGCATGCATGTGGTAGAGATTCCTGCAGGCAAAACACTGCAAAAATCAATGAACCTTAAACTTGCTGAAGGGTCAGCGGGGAGGGCAGACTCAAAGGGATACATGTATACCATGAGCTCCAGGCTAGCTGGGCTGCAAGAGTTGGACTTGTCTCAAAAAGGAAGAGCTGTCAGGTGGTGGTGGTGGTGCATACCTTTAGTCCCAGCACTAGGGAAGCCAAGGCAGGCGGATTCTAAATTCAAGGTCAGCCTGGTCTACAGAGCAAGTTCCGTCTCAAAGGGAGGGGGGAGGAAAATGGTGAATTTCAGTTTATGTAAATTATCTTAGCAAATGGGCTGAGGTGGGGGTGGAACCCCCTGCATAGTTTACTCTTCTGTTTATATGTAGGATAGAATTCAACATTGGATTTTTAAGTTTAATGTCCCTTATATTCATGTCTGTAGAGATCACAAACTGAACTCAACCTTAATATAGGCCTTTTGGAGATACCCAGGCCATACAACTATTTTGTAAAATAATTTTTCTTCAAAATGGTACTGAGAAAGCAATATTTGAGTTAGTATTCTAGTTTGTCATGGAAAACGGAAGTGACTTTGGTGCCACATAAGCAATACTGGGTAAGAGAGCACCTAGTATTTGCAAGTAAAATAACCTAAATAACATGAACCAGGTTAGGAAAAGTGAATTCTTAGGGGAACCAAGATAGGAATGTCTCATTTCTCTTTTCATATGGGACCTAGAAGTCACTGTTAACTCCTGTCAAGATATAGGCCTTACACACCCAGTAATTCCCAAGTGACTGGACCATGATGATGAAAGCCTAAAACCCATGCAAGGCCATCTTTGACACTAGTTTTTACCCTTGTTCTCATGAACTGGACTTCTCCAGTCAAACTTGCTTTGCATCAGCTTAGTTCCCTTCAGAAGAGTAAATAAAACATGACTTCACTATTAATCCCCTATGCTCAAATGATCCTCCTGAGACAAAAGCACCCTATATCCTTTCTTACATAGCCAATTTAAAGTCAGTCCCAGACTACAAGAGACCTTATCTTGAGAACCATTTTTTAGTTGATATTTTAAAGGCAGGATTTCTGTGTAGCCCTTCCCAGGGAGGGTGACAATATTGCAGTCTTCATTCCTAGGACAGACTCAGAGAAACAGGGAGTGTTGGGATTAAAAGTGTGTGCCATTACCACCCTACTCAAAAAACAGTTTTGGATTTAAAAAAAAATCTTTGTAGCCAGGCAGCAGTAGCACACGCCTTTAATCTCAGAATTTGGGAGCAGAGACAGGCTGATCTGACCTCAACAGCTTGGTCTGCAGACTTCCATGAGAGCCAGGGCTAATAGAGAAACCCTGCTCCCCCCACCAAAAAAAAAGGTAGAAAAGAGCCCATTGTGGTGGTGCAGCCTTTAATCCCAAGTATTTGAGAGGCGGACAGGCCTAACCCT